ATTTACACACTACAAATTATATGTGGTCGTGTAGAAATAGGCCCTGTCCAGCATTTGCTTCTTTCAAAAATACTTGACAATTTCTAGAAAACCTCAAGTTAAAAAGACTTCAAAGTGGAAGAAAAATCTAGCCTGTGAGTAAATTTGATGTTAAAAGGGTTACTTAGGGACTAGAAAATTGGGACATATGTTACTTTTGATTTTTTCTCATCTAATCTCCAAATGTTTCACCCAATCACAATCACATAGCTAACCATGACATTGTATGACTCTTGATATGCCAGCAATCTGTTCCAGAGTGTCGATATTCTGGGTATAATTCTTCAAAAGTTGGCCATTCAATTCTAGCTGCCTGATAAATCTGTGACTACGGGAAGGTTTAAATTTTCCTGGATATATTTCCTAGGGTAAAAATAATGCATCAAAAGTTAACAAGCAAACAAAAAAAATATATAGCATTTGTGGTGGTTTGCAATAACACACACTCCTCCACAAATTATGTATTATTCAAAATTGAGCTTAAATGAAAGTCCATCATGTATTCCCCAAATAACTTGCAATCTAATTTCAGAAAAGTGGGTGGTGGTTGCTATAAAACACAAGTGGGAAATGATAAGTATATCATCCTGCAATGAAAGCAGTTCCTGTTTCTTAAAGGTGGAGGATCATGATGTTTAAGACAATGCAGTCTTTGTTTGAAACAGAAAGCACAAGTTTTGTATCTTTTAATTTATTCTTAACTCTTTAACCCCCCAGGTCTGATAACAACTACTACCTGATAAGTTTGAGTATTCTCTTTACCCATTTGCAGGATTATGTATAGATACCATATGGAGAAGTTACATGTTAATAACTCCTGGGAGTTAAAGGGGTAAGAAGGGAATTGTGAGCGATTCTCACTACAAGAAGTAAGTTAAATAAACAAAAGAAATAAGGTGGAGCAAGAAACTGTCATCCTCATTAAATGTTTGCTGTTACAATATTGAAAATAGCTAGGCCTAGTGAAATTGACAATTTTCTGGTCCAATCAGGTCCTAAACAATGAGCCAACTTTCCAAACAGAAGCTTTTATTTGCCTTGATTCATAACAAGCAAAGATGGATTTACTGTTGGAACTGTTACACTGTATTATAAGTGTTTGGATTAAATGGTATATAGTACATTTGTACACTGTGTAAAGGGAAGATGACAGACTCCTGATTACATCCATCCATGCCTACCAGTATGAGTCATTAGATTACAGAAACTGGGACAAACTCTCATCTAATTTAATGAATTAATGGACTGTTCTTATACTGTTCATTACAAAGTACATTTACAACGAGCAACTTACTTTTGCAAACTTGTAAAATGGTCGTGGATTCTGACAGAAGTATGAAATGTCAAACATTGCCTGAGGGTCTGGAAGGTCAGGGTATTCAACACTTAATTTAGCATAGATACCATCTCGAGAGCGAAAGTCTGGAATACCACAGGACACTGATACCTGCAATGTAATCATACGACATATCCAGTTTATCATAAACAATGCAGACAGTAAATCTGATAATTTGCGCAAAAAGTTACTGGATTCTACGTCAATTAAATCCCAAACCAAAGTAAAAACAAATGAACTTCAAACTATGCAACCAATGAGGATTCAATGATTGATTTTTGAAGTGTTAGTACAAAAGGGAATGAATCAGTGAGAGTGTGAAGTCACCTTAACCAGTTTAAGTTATTTTGCAAACAATATCCGTGGGTTTTGTGGCACAAAAATAAACATGCAGATACAGTAAATGGTTTAACCTTGTGATTCTCTTGAGAGGGTAAATTTGCATACTTCATCATAAAGAAGCACTATACGGCTATTCTGCAAACAGCTTCCAAGTTGGCATGCATGAGAACTCAACTGGTCAGTTATTTTTCATCATATTTCACCTCTAACTATATACAATTATTGACTGAATATTGTTGTTGCACACAGGTATAAGAATTGAAAAAAATATATAATACTAGTAAGAGTAATGTACTCTTACTAGAGAGAAAAGCTACATACCCCAGCTCCAGTTAAAACAACTATGTTCTTTGATCCTTTGAGAAGTTCCACAACATCATCAAGAGTATTAAAATGGTCAAGCTTTTGTCTTGGAGAGGGCTCAGTAAGAATGTCAATGATAATCTTCCATAAAGTTGTTTTATCGAGGTTGGGAGGCTTAAATGAAGAAAATATCATTGAAAACAATAAAGACCACTCAACCAGAGACAATGAAGGACATCTGACCAGTCACCTCAAATAGTCTGTTATAAAAAAAACTTGCAAAATAGCTGAGAGAAAACCACAAGGCCAAATCTCATCATCCTCTTACCACCAGCACAGTGGTATTCATTTTCCATCTCTACTATCTATGTTGATTCACCACATACCTGTATAAAAACCACTGAAATGCCAATAAATTCATAACAAGGTCTCAAAAAAGTTTTTTTTAAATTACTATCTTAATTTTCACTGAAGATACAAGCTGAAAAGACTTATAACTGTAAGAAGAAGGATAGGAATGTTGGTGCAAGTTTAAGTGGGTTTTTTTTTTAATTTTTGAGCAGTTAATGAAACATACACATCCCATGGGAAATTCATGCCAAAAAGTTGTTAAGTATAAGCAAAATAGTTTTACCAATTGAGCATGGGGTATCATGTAGGTAAGAATATCCTCTGGATTAACATCATGACTCATCTGCTGTTCAATCCATCCCATGGGACCTAATATAGCAAATACCAGGAATGATAATCATTAGGAAAGACCAAATTTGAATCTTAATACACCCACAGGTAGAAACCTCAAGTCTCAAAGTCAGTCTCGAATCTGTTACACAAGCGAGGTATATTGCCGTAAGTATAATTTTGTTATCTGTTTTCATTGAAATGGGAAATTAAATGTCATGGATTGTCATGGATAAGTTCTAACACCATTCCAAGTCACAAAAGTGATTTCAATACATACACAAAACATTTTTTGTCAACACAGGTCAATAAAGTCAGTGAAAGGCTGATGTGGACCTGCCTAATTAAATACAGTAGGATCTGTTGACACTAAAATGTAACTAAGATGTGTTTTTTAAGAATAGTAATTTTTAAACAAGTTAATAAATACAAAAATAGGTTAAGAAGCTTAGGTATGTATATTGAGTTGGTAACCAGGCTTCACCATGAAATTGATAACAATGAAATTCTTTGTTCTTGTTTGTGATCAGACACAACTCTTTGTCAAAGATCAATATAACTATAAGTGCAAATCCTTTCTTAAGACCTTACAAATTTGTGCAAATTTGCTGTATTCATTATGGAGGGCACAGAGGGTGAAGAAAATTTATTAACTACCACAATCAAGGGTTTCGGTTTCCCAATAGCGCCCAGAGTAGCATGCTTTTTCGAAGAAAAGCAAGTTTTGATTTGAGAAGTGAAATTTCAAAGCGACCATTTGAAACCGACGAACAAAAACAAAATGGCGGATACAAAAACCGTGTTGATGTAATAATTTGCGGGTATTCAAGAGCAAATAAATTATAATTACCGGCAACAGGCTGATAATGATGTTCATAAATATCATCTAAGCCTTCTTCTACGCTGAAACAAGTCGGAAAGTCGTCAATTTGACGTCTTTCTTGTCCTCCGTGGCCGACATGTTGTTCACGTGACGTAGACTCAGACGACGGCTTTTTCGAATTATCACCTTCTCCAGTTGCCGTGAACTGCAATCTGAAATCTTTTTCTGGTTCAAATTTATCTTTATCATCACTATAGCTAGTATTTTGAGCGAGAGAAGCGTCAGATGACAAACGAACCCGCTTTGTGTTGGTGTATTCGTCCATTTCGTCTCGATCCGCCATCTTGGATTCTAGCTAGTTTCAGGCTCTTGCATACCACTCATGCTTTCAATATTTTTGACTACTCGACCCAGTGCTTTACGTCCCAACAAGAAAAGAAGCGGGAAATCACATGATTCACCTGAAGTAATCTATACAGTCAACAAAGGTCAACAATGACGACATTGAGCAACACCATTAGCTAAAGGGTTGAATCGGTAGATAAGATGACTGAAAATCAAAAGATCAGAAGGTCACTTTAGAAAGGGTCCTTCCCTTTATGCCTAACCTACTGAAAACATAACCAGTGTACTATTCACTACTCTCTTCATGAAAAAAATGATTGATTGAGGCATATTGACCTCATGAAGCCACAAACAGAACTTTCTTTGTACTCATATCTCACTTGTGGATCATGTGCTACTATCAGCACCTCTAACACTAAGAGTTTGTTACATGGTAAAATAGTACACCCTTTTTATGATTCAAAACCTTGATATACTCTGTTGGCAGCACATTTGTTTCTAAGCCAAGTGAAAGTGTCCTTCTTTGCCCTGGCATAGAGAAGGAAAGGAAAATTTCCATGGATTGAGCATCTCAATTTATTATTTTTTATTGCCATCCTCACCTCCCCCCACCACCCAAAAAAAAAACTTCATGCCAATATACCTCCTCCATGCTGGGAATTAGCCTCTCCACAAACTTTCCTTTTTCTCCTAAATCAATATGCACAAAGTGAGAAAAAAGAAAGCCACAATTTACACAGTGTTCATGGATCCAATATGACGGGGTTAAGTTGCACAAAAGTGAAAAAAAGAAACAAAAACAACATAAACAACAAAGAAATAAGTACAAGAAAAAACTGAAAGGCTGAGAGCAAACCACCATGGATGGACCGCTTGCAAGTTGTGATCCCAAAACAGATATAATATAAGAAAAATGGAATAATATCATCACATTGAAAGGGATAGGATTTCTGATATGTGGTTCACTAAGGTTCATTGCAGACCAAAAAGGTATTGCTATATCATCTGCTAGCTACAGACAATTCATTGATATGTGTAGGTGACAAAAATACAGTCCAGTAATTGCATAACATTACATGTAGGTATTGCAACTGCAGAGAGCTTTATTATTAAAATAAACATAACAGGAGATACATCATAATATTTATTAACAGTTATACACTACAATTCTGCCAATTTATACTGATACAAAGAGGATTTACAATACAAAACTTCAATAGTAAAAAAAGTGGGTGATGATATTTTCAGTACAACAGACAAGCACCTAACTTCTCCTTAGAACTGGGAATCACAAAAATGTGTATTCACAACTTGTTATATTATACTAGATACCAAGTGGCTTGTAAGTCCATTTTCTGAGGAGAATTCAGGTGTTGAATACAGTTTACATGAAAATTCTGAAAGTGTAAATTATGTACAAATGGAAAAGACTTAAGTCACAAAAAAAATTCACTTCCAATAAAAGATGTAATTTCAAAAATCAATATTCAGAGCAGCATATTGACATTTGAGGCTGTTTTTCAAAAAAATTAACACGAAGGCAAACAGATAATGCACACTTTGACTGACTCCAGTACAAAAGATCTTTACTTTCTCCGCCAAATCACTGGATTAAAAAGTGTGATCAAGGAGCCACCAACCAAGGTAATTGTGTGAGGAAGGATCACAAGTAAAGTTGTCCTGTCTTGAGCCAAAATTTTTTATACTTCCACAGGATGAGGGTGGAGGGGGAAGGAAGGCTGCTATCAAAACAAACTGGGGCTAGTCTCAAACCCTCATCACCACTGAGAGTATTTTGTTCTTGTTCTTGCCACATAACCTAAGTTGGCAGTTACATGATCCAGCATGATGGCCAAACCACTTTGCAGAAATTCAGTAGGTGAGGCTTTGTGCAAGGTCCAGTAAACAATCAAATGGGTGCTAATTCATTATTTGTGCATATGGCAACAAGCTTTGAAGACTGAGTCATAAATAGCCTCTGAAAGCCATTAATAACACTGGCAACCAAGCTTAAAATTTTGAAAAAATACAACCAAAAACAACCGCGCATGTATTAGAAAAAAATTCTCCTGCAACTGACCAAGACATAGTAAACATGAGTTTACAATTCACAATTGCATATCTTTTAAACATCTCCTACAATATTTACTTGATGCACACAATTCAAACTCTGGTACTGCCTCTGTATAAATGTCTACCTAATGCATTCTAAAAGACTTTGCTGCTGTAATTAATACCTTTTTAAATTTTTTTTTTTGGTTAAAGCTTTACGGTAATCACAGGTTGATGCTACCATAAATTATTTGAGGATACCCCATTCAAGTTTTGATGAAATAGAGACATTACCCATGACGTCAGATAACTGTACAAATGGTATAGTACATACAAAGTACTAACAATAACTTACAGATTAATGAGGAACATCTGTAGAGATAAGGATAGACAGTTTTAAGACAAAAGCAAGACTTTACTTCTAGCACAATACAGAAGGAGAGACAGAAACAAGAATCCACCAAACTTCACATGGCGTACTTCCGAGTCCACTCCTTAGCTTCAGTTTCATATTTACCCTTGTCTGATTTGTATAGACGTGCTATATCTGGCACTAATGGATCATCTGGATTTGGATCTGTAAGCAATGAACATATTGACAAAAGAACTGCAACAAAAAAGAAATATCATAGGTCAAATAACTTTATAACATAGCCAGTAAATTTGTCGAATCAATTCAATTGCGCAAGCATGCTTCATATTCCTATTGTGCATGCTCATGACGTCAGCAAACAAATCCCTTGAGAAAAAAATTGCTTAGGGTTGAAAATGTTATAAAACAATTGGTTCATACGTCATCTGTGCATTCATCGAGATATGAAGCACTTGGGAAGTTTGGAGAGCACTCAAGAAGCTAGAGTTGCTCTTGGCTACACCTCGAGCAACTCTTACGCATCTTTCATGCTCTCCAAACTTCCCACATGCTTCATATCTCAATGAACACACGCTGACGTATGAACCAATTGTTAATTGGAAAGTTATGCAAATACTCTCTCAGAGCATTAATGCATCAAGCATCAATCAGCTTGGTCACTAAAATAACTACAAATTTAAGGTCCTGAATTTGGCAACCTGTGATCATGTGACAGATACCAAGCTGCGGCCAGTCAGCATTTTTAGCCTTCCTTCTACACAAGAGAAGCATACACCCATGACTTAAATCTACAACCTCTAATTCAGTTGACATCATTAGTTGTCTGAGAATTAAGGCTTGATTTGACATGTGTGTCCCCAATTTGAGGGTGACAGTTAAAGGACCATTTCAGTTATTTCAAAGACAAAGTTTCATTGTGTAGTCAACAGTTTAACCAATCATACATTTTAGTGAAAAGAGTTTATTTCCATGACTGACCAATAATCTACCTGTTACTTTGGTTCAAGGTTGCCAAAAGGCAACTTTGAGAAAAATTTGCATGTCTGAGAGAAAAAAATAAATATTGTCACACTATCCAAGAAGACTATCACAATTCAGCATAACTCAGGCTAATGTTTTTTCAATAGGTCTTTCAGCACTCTTACCCTTAGAAATCGTTAGTGCTGGACTCCACTGCGATCGTAATATATCAAGACAAATATTACCATTGCTGTTTATGTTAGGGTGATATATTTTTGTTGTAAATGATACCTGAAAACAATGAAAGATACACAAGAAAACAGTTTACTAAGACTGCACAACTGAGTACCTCTCATTACTCTACAAAGTACATCCATTTTGAAATCACTTGTTATCCTAACCATCAAATTGATCATCAACAGAACAATCTAAACACAAGTTACACTAAGTTTTGCTCTCAACTGCACCTTTTCCTCTGCCAAGCAATTTTAACATAGAGCTCCACACTAAAACAACCAATCAGACTTCAGACTTCAGCTGTTAAATTAATTACAAATTTTTCATTTTCTTTCATTTCAATAAAATGTTTGACAAATGAAATTAAGTGATCAAATTGATTGATTTCAAAATGGATATAATTACATGTAAGTGGTAAATGAACTTTATGTCATGCAATTTTGATCTCAAACCATTCTCTCTTGTCCCCTGAGTGTGACAAAACTTCTGAATGTAAGTTAAAAGGAGGGAACTCAGTAATAAAAACTGATCAGTAACTGAAAGGTCAAAAGGAGGTTAAAAGAAGCATAGAGAGACCTGAATTTAGCTAGCAACCAAGGGACACTTGCTAGACTCACCTAAATACAGTATGTCAACTTAATACAGGTCAAGCAAATTATACTGTAACAGTAGCTGTAAACCCCCCCCCCCCCCCAAAAAAAAAAAAAGAAGAAGAAAAAAAATTGTGGAAAGTCAGGAATGTATCTGATTGTTTCATGAAGACAGAAATAATGTAATTATGAGAATAACCATTTAAAAGGTACCCAGCTTTATCTTTTACTGAATTCAATAGAAATAATAATAAAAAATCTTTCATCAAGCAATGTCTTCCTAACAAAAAAAAAGAACACCACATACCCCTGGCCTCTGCAGCCACCTGTTAGAGGTATATACTGAACTGAGGTTTAATTTTACTGGGACCAAAAATTTGGGTTGTTGTCTGCTTAATACAAGGTGGCCCCTCTACTGTTTATTCAAGTTTCATTGCAGATCCTCAAATCATACCCTACTGGGCCATACCCATAGTTTATTCAGTCCCTAATGCAATATTAAAATCATGGTGTTGTACAGTCATGTCAATTAATAATGGTAATAGTACTGAGTCAAGTCCAATTTGGTCTGTAATCATAGGAGTGATAAACAAAATCGGATGATCGCAAAGTGGAGTCCAATTTGTTAATCATGAGCGTAATTGCAGACAGAATTGGATGACACAAAGTACTGTTGCCTATTAATCAAAGCTATGACAAAATTTGAGAAAGAAGCTAGATATTGATTGTACATTTTCATAAAAAATAACAACAACAACAGTTAACTCTACAAAATGCAAGAAAACAGTGTGCACACATGAAGCATTTGGTCCACTCAGACAGGCATGACATATTGACTGTCCCTTTAACTGTCCAATTACAAGCATGATGCCTTCACTGTCCTATTAGTGCTCAAATGGGGCTGGTGATAACCAATCATGTTCAAGAATCTTGTTGTAGTTTTGATTAAGAGGTATGGACCTAAGACAGACTACTGATGTAGAGATTTGGAAATTTACAGAATAGCTGTCTGCTTTTGCAAAACGATCGATCGAATTCACTGATGTAAAGAAACAATCTGCACACAAGGCGCCATTTTTTTCAAATAAATTAGGGTTAATTTCAAGGAAAAGCTTGTCTGAGTGAAACTTGCATGCGATCGACTCGCATGTCATGACAGTACTAGAATTGAAGTCCATTACCCGACTACATCAAAGCTGAGACAAATTCTGACCGTCAAGCTAAAGCATTTTAAAATACTAAAGGAGCTAACTCAAATAACCACAAAATACCTAACAATGAAATTCACCGGAAGAGAGGTGGAAAAGGGCACTTTCACTGCAAATCGATCGAAAAGCTTTCTACGTAAGTGTTCCTTCAGCACGACAAAACAAACTCCACTTCTCTTCCCGATATATTTGATTAGTTTCACTCAAAAGATATGTTATAAACAAATAAGCTGAGGAGTTTATATTAAATACTTCAATTTTACCTACCTTTGGTGGTTTGAAGGGATAATCTGTTGGAAAATGTATCGTAAGGAAGAACACTCCACCTTGGTATGGACTATCAGGCTGTTCACATAGAAACAACAAATAGAGCTACAACTTAACAAAGGCCTTTAGGAATGTTTTTCATCGAATCTACTTATATGACAGCAAAGATTCAAATATATAAAATTTCCTTACCGGTCCCATTATTGTCGCCTGCCAGTGAAATACTTCATTCGTACATACCAAGTCAAAAATATACGAGGAGAAAACAATGTTAACATTTACAGATTGACGCAATTGAAATACAGTGAGCTTAACAACACGCATAATCTTTGAAATGCTAGCTTTAGAGAATCAAATAGTCTGTGAGCCAGAAATTTCTACGAAGTCCGCGAAACATACCAAATCTTGTCATGTGAAACATATTTCACTTACAATCATCTCCGACTGGTCCTGCGGAACATTGTGCTGGCGGGTCACGTCCTAAATCCTGCAATTCCTGAGAAATAACGATGAAACTCAACAAAAATTCCAACTCATCCAAACAACTAGATGGGCCGGACACCGCTCAACCAAAACTTTTCAAAACACTCTTAACAACCAATGTGGATCGCCCATACAATTTTCATGCACGACCGAAAGGGTACACCGTAGCCATGGGAGTTAACATTTACTTTCAACTCTCCATTCGCCAGAAAACGCCGATACAAAAACATCAACACTTACTTTGTTTATCCTTTTTAACGCCATTTTCTATAAACCCTATTATTCTGTTGAAGTCTCGAGGAAAATATAAATTTTACTAATGCGTTAGAGATCGCAAACTTCCTGTTAATGGAGGCCAACAAGAAACGTGTGAGCTGTTTTCCTCTTCACCCATTGGCCGAAAGACAGTCACGTTCACAGAGAAGAACCGGCCTAGTTCCAGTTCCCTAATGGGTGTTGTTTCTCGAGAGGAGCACGAGATTTTCTGTCCACCGCCAGGTCCCCAACTGATGACTACTTTGCAGTATTGTGTAGGAAACACTCAAATTCTAATGTGTATTGTAAATGATCTGAGTAGCTTTTAGGACGTTTTTCCATAGATTCTCAGGTTAGAATAGCTGGCGGTATTAACTGCCACTAATGAGTCACTCAGCTCACCTGTACTTCAATTAGGAAGTCCGACTAAAGGCTGAGCGTTTGGGGTGTGATGAGACAATCGCGAGACTAGGTTTAGGAGATGTATGAAAGGAGGAGATTTGATGTCCACTTGTGGGCTTAATCTGCTGCTATGGAGAAGGGGAAAACAGCAGAATGGATGACTTATCAGCCATTAGACATCCGGGCAGCATTAGTTTGCATGGGGTCACCTATGGATATGCGTTGGAAAGGGTGTTTAAGAAGAAGGTACATATTGACGCATTCACGCGCGACTTGCTCTGGCTCAAATGTTTCTGATGTTAGGACCAAAGTAGAGGGAAGGATTGCATACGTGAGGCATTTTACTTCTTTTTCCTACTCCACCCTCAGTTTAAGAGCAGTATTCCCTGTTGAAATTACCACCCTCTCTCTTCTTTGGCAAGGCCTAAACCTAGTCTTCCCCAGAAAGAGGAATAACAATTACAACATGAAAATATTCCCCACCTCCCCCCCACTTTTTCTTGACCTCTGTTTCCTGATCAATAGTAGATCATAGGAAGAAGCAAGCAGTGAGAAAGAATAGCTATATTTATACTGTGTAATACAAAATGACCTTAAAATATTTCAAACCATAGTATAGCTTGATTTGTATTTCGTTTCAAATTACACTCACATCTTTAGCTCAAATGAAAGTACATCTCTGTAAAAGGCTATTCTAACCCAAAATTCAAATCTGATTGTAACATATTTTAATCCTCTCCCACCAACTATTCATTTCATTAGTAATTCAAATTTGGGATTTAAATGATAACTTTCCCTATTCCCCTTGGTTTTTTCCCTTTTTTTTTGGCATATGAAAACACTGTAATGAGATGGATAGAAAGAGAAATTACTTTAAATCACTTTTGGGACCGTAAGGGTTAGTTTAAACTTGGTTCTTAAAGAAAACGAAAAATTTCAAAGACTAATGAAATTAATTGCATTGAGGTTAATTTAAGCTAGTCTCCCTTTTTAAAAATAATGTATCTATTAACATATATTGGTTAAGATATTTGTTTCCTTTGTTTAATACTATTAACATTTTGGAGAACTGAAGAGGATGTAAGAAACTAAAGCAAATCACATTCAAAAGTCAATCACTAAATTGTCTGTTTATTTACCACTTCCAAAAGGAACAAAGAGACAACAAATGTCAAAGTTTGAAGGTGTTGCAGAAGCCCTAATTAAAATCATTAGCTGTAACTTAAACTACGACCATAGGATAAGTGTTGAAGGTTTTTCCTGGAGGCGGTTTGCAATTAAATTACTAACACCTAAACAATGTCACTGCCAACTAAGACCAGGTGGAAACTGGAGTTTCAGTAGTAATACAAAACAATAATATACCAAGAAGTAATTTGACCTCACCAATACAGGTGTACAGAGAATACTTATAATTCCAACTCTTGGGAAAACAAAGCACAAATATAGAGTCAACTGTGGTTAACGTACCTGCTTAAAGTTGGGCAGAAAGTGCTCACAACAATTTGTATATACAATGAAACAAGTAACACACACACAAAACGTACAAAAACAGTTGCTGCACTTATTCAGAACAATGTAATTTATTAAAATCTGAATCTGCTACACAAAACATTAACTTGATTTAGAAATATACATATATACTTGCAAACTCCTGTTTATGGCATTCTCTACATTTATTTCATCATATGACTGACAGTATATACCTTACACGACAAAGACAAATAGCTAGTAAATCATTCAACAATTCTAAAGAAAATACTGTAGGACATAACATATATTGCACATCACAACAATATGACTTTGCCACAGACAATGCAACAGCAGTGTCTCAATGAAGTCATCATTGGGCAAACTTCCTTGTCCATTCTTTTGCTGTTTCATTATATTTTGGTTTGTTTGTTTTATAGATACGTGCTATTTCTGGCACCAAGGGATCATCAGGATTTGGATCAGTAAGCAAAGAACAAATTGACAGAAGTACTAAAAAGAAAAAGAAGTAATTAAGCATATCAGTTGACATTTCACTGACCAAATGACTGTGCGGTGATTAAAACCTGGAAAAATACAGCATACTTAAAGGCTTAATACATGACCTGACTTAGAGTGAAATATACTCCACAGAGTATACATGTATTTCATAATAAATCATGGAAAATAATTCAATTGTAACATAAAATTGAGTTTATACGATAGGCAAAATCGTACAAGCAGTTTTGATTGCTTTTCAATGATGATCTTTTGGAGGACAGACACTTACGTGTAGATGACATAACATTAACAGTATTTTTTCTTTTTCTACTACATAAAACAAATAAATCCCATGTTACCATGGGTGTGTACAGTAATAGATCACAGAAGACCTCAAAATGTGGTAAGAGCATCAGTGACACACTCAGATGAGACTTGCATGTCCTTTTTTTAGTTATTTACATATTTTAACATCATCTGTGATCATTTCAACATCATTTGTGATCTATAACTGAAGAGATGCATAGCAAGATGGAAGTTATTTGTTAAATTGACAATGACTGAATTAAATTGTCCAAAAGTGTACACCAAAGGTAAAATATTTCCACACTTTTTAAGTAGCATGTTGTTAACACATACAGGACAAAAATAAGATAGAACTGCAAGTCTCAGGGTACAAGCAGCCTCTTATTTATCCATTTTTTTTTTTTTTTTTTTAACTTATCCATCACAACTGATTTTTTTCAACACCTGGGCCAGGTCATTCAAACCAGGGTTAAGATAACCCAGGGTTATTGTGAAATCTAATTTAGGATTTAAAGCTTTAAGAGAAAATTGAGTACCATTCCATTTGTTTACAATTGGATGATTGGATACCCTAAAAATAATAGAGAAAATTATCTGAAAAGGCTTTAAAAAAGCATTAAAAAAACCTGGATAAAAATTTAACCCTGGGTTAACTCTAATCAAATTTTTGAACAACCAGGCCCTGAAGTATAATTGTAGTCCCCCTTATTAACTACTCAAAATGTTGCCATTTCCTGTTCTTTACCTTCTCATACCTGTTTCATCAGAATACAGTGCACGTGAAATTAAAGTCAATGAGTAACTGAGGAAAATGATCTCACCTTTAGAAATGGTTAGTGCTGGACTCCACTGGGATCGTAAGATATCAAGACAAATACTGCCATTACTGTTTATGTTAGGATGATATATTTTTGTAGTAAATGATACCTGCAAAATAAAAATCAATTAATCACAGTATTAATACAATAGGCCCTGCTCATTTAAAAGGAGGATAACACTCACTATGAGATAAATTACCCAGCATTCAATGATATTTGAAGTATACTTTGAGCAAACTTATCCACATAAATTGTTTTATCCTGAGCCTGCTGTTATCCACACTGTGCATTTCTCTTCTTAGTACTGAAAACCCGTCTAGTCAAAACTACCCCATATCCTTTTTTTCACATTTTTCTTTCCTTTTATCATTGTCTGTTCGACTACTCATTCAAATTGAAAGGATAATTTATAAAACTGAAACAAAAAGGAGACTTAAACTAATTTAAATTGCAGAGAAAATACAACCATCTATTCCATACATATATAGACATCTTTCCAACTTCCATGGGAACAGCAGACAAGTCCATTTGAATTGTCAAAAAGTTGATTATGCATAACATATAAAACATAAAACCATGTGACAAATCAAAGTTACAAGACTGCACAAATACTAAATATTAACTGATGTAAAGCAATTTACACTTATAACTGACTTCTGCAATTCAAAATCCAGGGCTCAGTTGTTCAAAGGCAAATTGGCACTAGCACAAGGTTAAATTTTTATATGGGTTCTTAATTCCTTTGTTCAAAGCCCTCTTAACATAAATTTCTCTAGTCTTTTTAGAGCATTCATTCATCAACTTGTAGCATAAAAATTGCATTGAATTTAATTTTAAGGCTTTCAGATCTGAAATCCAATTTCCCATTAACCCTGGGTTATCTTAACCCAGCTCCAAACAACCTGGCCCAGATGTTGTGATTCTTTGTTTTTGATTGATATGTTTTCAAAACTATTTATTTCTTTTTTAAGTAAAGGAACTTTCCACAGCAACTAAATTAGACAGCATAGAAATTGCAAATTTTAAGCAAGAAAAGTTTAAAAAATAAATTAATCCAGCTCTATAATTTATTGAAATAATTCTTCACATACAACAAGAAAATGGGTCTTATGAATTAGCAATGTAAGACAGTATCAGAAGACTTCAATTCTTAAATTCCATGTGCAGTGCCACAGTTAAAATTTCCATATAAAGTTTTCAACATTCTTATTGAGAACTTGCACAGACAAGTCATACATGACAAATGGAAAATGCCCTCATACATATATTGGACAATCAAACAATTGGAAACAGCAGAAAATCCTAGAAACAGGGATATGTTGAATCTTTGTCAGGTATTTAGTTAGGACAATAATTTAAGGTTGAAGCATGCTTCCTCTGACACTGCTAAATTTGGTTTTAGTTAACTTTCCTATATGGAACTTGGAATTATTCTTGTTAATCTCATCAGTTTCTAGACTTGAAAGAGTAAAAGGGCAAATCAATACTCTTCTGAATAGAGAGCTTAGCATAGGCAAGCTTTACAGAAATGAATACTGTAGGGGGATAATTAAGTTGTTTCAACAGTCATTTCAAAGAATACAACCATAACAAGAAAAGAAAATCTTGACAGTATTCCATGAGAGGCTTAAAACTATATATGACTCATATAGAGGGTGGTTTTAAAAATATCCCGACTTAAGATCAGCGCAGGATAAATTAATAAGAAAAACATAACCTAGTTTCTAATGTGGTCAAAAGTTTGACTTCAACAGTAACAATATAAATCCTAAGAACTGAATGATGCTCGCTTACAAAACGCTAAACTTGAAAGAACTCCTAAATTACAGTCGTTCATTTACGGTATGTTGTAAGCAACTTTATGCGTGAAATGTTGAGCAATCTAAGATCGTTATACTAAAGTTTCACGCCTCTGATCATAGCCGTTCTATTCTTAAAAAAAATACACTTCGGCTCGAGGAATATTAATGAATCAATATATAAGACACAAAACTTGATTCGCTAGCAAGCCAGTACAATGTGCCTACCAACGTTACTGTGGCCTTCTACAAATATAACCTTGAATTCATCACGAACAGTACAAAAAATACAATTCCTCAGGTTCTTTGAGAGCTGTTTAAAACAGATTAACTTTTTTTATAATACAATAACCAAGTCACCTACCTTTGGAGGTTTAAAAGGATAATCTGTTGGGAAATGTATTGTAAGGAAAAACACTCCACCTTGGTATGGGCTATCAGGCTGTTCGAAAAGAAACAGCAAACAACACTGCTTAGCATTACAATTCAACGATATTTTGTAAAGATCGATCAGTGAAAATATTTCAAAAACACCAAAGGCTTCATAGGTATTAGAATTCCTTACCGGACCCATTATAGTCGCTTGCCAATGAAACACTTTATGATCACGCGATGACACAGATTTCAATGAAAGAGAAAAATAATATTTGAACTTTGAGGACTAGCGTTCAGACATAGAACACAAAGTTGAACCACTGAGATACTAAGTAAGGTAATTATATAATTAAGAATGGTGTGTGGTAAAAAGTTTGCTTTTTAAGTGATAAAATACGGCGACATATTCCGCTTACAGTCATCTCCAACCGGCCCAGCAGAGCACTGTGATGGTGGATCACGTCCAAGATCTTGCAGTTCCTGAATTGACAGAAAAAAAGAGTACGATATAACTTTTATATTTCGATGTCCGGGTGTTACGTAGAGTGTAAACAAAATGCACTGATGGCCATCATATGAACATAAAAAGGCAAAAGTGCTGTGTGTACATTTTCATATCGCTTTTGCACCGCCATCGATTCTGCCATATTTTATCAAAATTAACTGTATTTGTAATCCCTCGTATCACATCATAGGTCATATAAACGAAGCCAGAGCTTACTTTGTTGATCCTCTTTAGTGCCATTCCCCCGAATAACTATTACGATGTAAAATAGAATGGGAACAGGCAAACGTCGTGTACTGCGATGAAGAATCGGGAAACTTCCTGTAAAATGGCGACGATAGCTGCGAAGGAAAAAATGTCACAGTTTATTGGTTAGTGGCTGTCACATGATCAAATCTTCACCTGCGCAGGACCTTTAGTTCCGTAGTTCCATTCTCCTGTGGAGTGACGCAACCAGAGAAGATTTCAACCTTTGGTGCACCCCGCCTATTAATTTAAAAGTATCATTCCTCATTACAGAACGGCACGGGAGGGCAATACGCGATATATATTTCCACCTGCAAGGGGAATGGGGGAGAGGGGTGGAATGGGAGGGGGGAGGGGTGGAATGGGGGGGAGGGGTGGGACCATGAAATAAAGCGGCGGAGGATCGAACTCGAGAAGCTTATGGTCCAGTGGTTTCTCTCACTATTTCCCTTTCCAAGTCTTCAAAGCGCACTCACAAACGTCATCTACGCCGACTAATATACACTTGCTTTTGTCTAGGGGAAAGAGTAGCATACAAACTCCGTAACATAACAAGCTCTCAGCTGAAGCAGCGATCACGGGTGAAGTAAAAAGGAAATGAAAGAGTGTTTATTTTTTCTGGTATGAATGAAAATGAAGTTCCTATTTCTACATGTTGCCGAGGATGGGTCTATTGTCTCTCTTTTTGGTACCACAACTTTAACTCGAACAGTGTAGAGTCAAAAAATGAATATCCGGTGAAGTAGGAACAATTAAAGAGTCGCGATTGCCGGAGTACCAGCAACATCATCAGCAACAGCAACATTTTAGCATGAAGCAAAACACACCGGAAGTTTATAACAAGGGAGATTATTTCGTCAATATTTTTTTTCCATACTTGATTTATTCGCTTGCCTGGGGTATACATGGAGGGAGTAGGGAGTTAATAGGAAAGCAAAGCGCAGAAAGAGTGCGGGCCGCGATCGTCAACGTAAAAGAGCCAGAATATCGATGAAATGACGCGAAGTAACTAGAAGTAACTGTTCAGTGTTTCTTGTCACCACCCAACGAGGTTGAAACGTGTCTGTGATAATTAAACGTTGAGTGACCTTGGAGTGATATGGATACCAATAAAATGCGTTAGCGTTAAAAATACAAAAGAGAAGATATGCATCACTAAGAACGAATGCTTAGACACTTGATTTCATTCTAAAATCAAGAACGGTACCCAGTTGTGACAATTAATCACCATGTTAATTGAAACCTCTTGCACTCATCCTAAGGATAGTGCTTCCAGGCGCCTCGCGTCACGTTGCTTGTGCAAGCGGGACTCTGAGTCACGCCCGATTTGTGAGTTTGGCTGTTAGTGGTCAGGTGTTAGATATGCATAAATCAGACCTCCGGGATGAGGAAGTTGGCTTTGCCTTTCTTGGTAAGTTTTCATTGAGCTCTCTACTTCAGCCTTTTTTGCCGTCAGCCAACTGGCTGATACCCGATGGTGCGCATCGCGTGGCTGGCGCGAGACCACGCTCATTGAGTTTTAGCTTTTTTTCCAGATAACGCTTCCGTGCGGAAGACAAGGATTTTACCTTTTTTAGTAATAGTGCTTTCAGTCTTATGCACAAGGTCAGGGTATTGATAAAACCACTCAGAAAAATAAACCGCGATGTAAACCTTCAAAACACGCCCATAAAACTCTTCCTACACTAGAGAGGTATATTCTATTTCTTGCAAACAGTTTTGTTTCAGTGGAACGTGACCGTATAATGTTCAAGAACTGTACATGTGTTACAATCAGTTCAAGTTCTAGGGTCGAGAGGCGATTATTTCGCACAGACCCTCTCATTCGCTTATGTCATTCATTTTCTCCAGCTGTTGGGTTGCCAGATAAACATACCGCCATCATATCATTTCATCGAGACACGTTAACCAATTACGTGCCCGAGGATGGAGAACGGCGGATGTGACGTCATCCATCGGCCTTGGACACTATTTAAATACAGATTTGACGCACCGACGGCTAAGTTGTAAAACGAATGTGCGACAATTTGCCAAACCCTTCGTTAAGACTGGTTGTGTGGTGTTCGAAGTGCGGAGCTTAAGTCGCGATGAAAAGTGGGAGGGTGATCAGCCTGTTCGTGGTTTGGTTACTGCTCTGTTTAGCTGTTTGGATTGAAGCAAGATACTCGAAGACGGTAATTATTAATCCATCCCATCTTGTAATAAACATATCTCAGTTCACCAAAATGCGTGCATTCGGAATAAATTCTTCTGTCCTTTATTCAAACTTTGATACGGCAAATTTATAGCATGTCGATCTATTCCTGTTTTTCCAGGTAAAAGAAAGTCATCGCAGCGCAGAAGAAAAGCAAGGTAAGTCGATCAAAGCGAGTAAATCACAAAATTCTTACCAACAAGTGATCGGATTCACGTTGGTCTGAAGACTGCAGTCTACATTGAATCCGATTAGTGCTTATATCCTATTAAAAATATATCCCCGCATTTGCGAGGAACACAAAAAATAAAGAGATCTTGCTGCCCAGCTTGTCAGCAACCCGTGCGCAGAAGATTCCGCCAATTTACCTTTGTCATTTGTCTCACGCACTGAGAAAACCTCACCCTAACGTAAGGAGTTGTATGGGTGGCTTTGGTCGAAAGAGTTATCATTTAGACATCTGGCCGGCTAGCATGACAAGATCCTTTTTCTTTTCTTTCTAGCACAATCCCGCACATGCAAAAAATTTTCCAATCCTTGCCTCACCAGACACAAAGGGGAACTGTTTATTGGTGGATTTCCTTACGCTACATGCACTTACGCTAAGTGGTTAAACATTAAGTTTTATCGGCAGATAGTACGACCTCAGTGCAATGATAAACAAAGGAATCAATACATTCTGTCGCTCATTTTCTAAAAGTTTTGAAGCTTAAGGTCAACCAAATGTCATAGGGGACTATTTTGTGTCTTTTTTCACGTGCAAACGAAGATAGTCGCCAAGTGTAAAGAACCATTTGGTTTCTTCACCACGCAATACTAGCTTTGAGTAGCGCGCGCTATGCTTAAATAGTCCTGCTTCCTTGGATTTTTTTATTTTATTTATCGAGTACTCTGTGGGCTGTCCGTGGCGGCACATTACCGACAGAGGTTATATAATTAACTGAGGTCCTCTTGAAACACGCGTTGAAAGCTAAATACCGGAAAATTTTTCAACACGCAAATTGAGTGACGGGATAAACGTGAAAGCTAGTGATCCCAGTGCACTATGTTTACTCCAGTAAAGGGAAGAACAACGCTAGAGGGTGTTTCTTTGACTAAACGATTTTTTATTCGGTCAAAAGAACTCGGTTTTAAAAAAAACATTCAAGCCTATTTGGGGGTTCTTGGCTTTACTCCATGTGTATTTAAGTTTCTTTCGAATAACACCCACTGCAAGTGACCTTTAAATTGTACATTGTAATTTAACCCTTTCGGTAGTAGTTACGGTTTCTTGAAAACAATGAAATGACGCAAGTTACTGCTTGGAAATGGAAGTTCATATCAGCGCAGTGTAGTATTCAGGTCCTAAAACGCAATGCGTTATTTGATGATTGAATCACGTCATAGGAAGTTCCCAAACATGTGTACGTTATTTGATTAAATCATGTAATAGGAAGTTCCCAAAAAGATGTGCGTTATATGATTTAATCATTAAATATATTGCGCAAGCTTTTTCTCTCTAGTAATACAAGTTGCAAAAAACTGATTGCGACCTGCATACTGGCAACAGAAATGCCTTACGTCTTGCAACTGAATAAGACAAAACTAAAACGGACGCGGTCCCAACTACTTATGCACAAGAATGCTAAACGTCTTCCTCAGAAAGCCGGCTTACGATGATTCAAACAAGTAGTGTAGTTGATGATCTCGCATATGAACTGGTTGAAGACGAATCCGCAACATAAAAAATTTGAAACTCATAACGTAGATTAACAAACGGTCGTTTTATTCGAATCAGTTATGTTGCGTGTCAATTCTAATTCGTGTTTTCTCACACTCGAGTGTTTCCCCAAATAATTAGGTACCTTAAGCAAACCACAACGGCGACGGCAAAGCAAAGAGGTCAATTTAATGAGTAAAACAATAGCTCCACACGTGCGTTTTTACGACTTGTCACGTCTCTTTGCCTTCCTCTGCCAAACAAAAACGTCAAATCACCAAAATTCGCGTGGTCCGAGAGCTGAAACTCCGAAGGCCAATCATTGCAGTTTCATTCAGTTTGGAACTAAAAGCTGCTCGCATACGTCAAGCTAAAGTTCATGTAAGGTGCTGTAAGAGACGGTAAAAGCATCCGGTCATTCTTAAAATTATATGTAGAGATGTGGACTAATTTATTAATCGACGTGTTCCTTGACGTCGCCGCTACGTACCCTTTTTTTTTTTTTTTTTTTTTTTTTTTTTTTTTTTTTAAGGGCATAGCGCGGTTTTCAGTTATTTTCTTTCAAAAGCAGAAATTTCAAAACGATTGACACCAGAATTTGTCAGAAGTAAAAGCTTACCAAATGCGAAAGTAAAAAACAATTACAGAATATCGTCATTTCCAGTCCCCGTGAATTCCACTAACCACAACTCTTTTGAGTCTGTGGTTAGCTGTTAGTGTTTAAATTAAAACGTTTACGCACATTAAGTTTGCTTTAACGAAATTCCTCCTTAGAGCATGTTATGCCAAACCACTCATACCAGAGCATCAAGATATTCAAAAGATATGGAAGTGCCATTGTTTCTAGTGAGAAGAGGCGGCAGCACAATCTTAGAATGTAGTAGTGCTCTTATCTTCGCGAAGTTGCGTAATTTGTTTTGGTATGGGGTATACAACAGATTCAATGTTATAAATGGATGAATTAGAGGGTTAAAATGAAGACGATAGATCATAACTTTTATGCTTTCATGCTCCATTTCTACCAGTATCGGAGCTGGCGTTCAGTCCTCTGATTTGCTTATTGGTATTGAAAGATGAGAATGACTTAACTGCTGCAGCAAATCTTATAAAAGTCTGACGTTACAAGTGCACGGTGCATTTCATCAGAGGAAAGGGCGAATCAGACAAATTTTCTGCGGTACACTTAATGTATAATGTTCAAACCAGCGCTAATGTTTAAACCAGCGTACACAATCCATATATTTCACCTGACACTATCTACAATGACAGGTTAAACATGATGTTCGGACATGTTTCAGAAGATTATTGTCGCCTATGTCTATCTTTTGTCAATGAGAGGCAGGTTTATGTGTAATGTCCTCCTAGTTGATTCATTTTTAAATGCATCATCATTTCCGAGTAATTTATTGGATTATATGTATGAATTATTTCCTGAACAAGCTATACCAAACGGAAGTAAGTGGAGTGGACAAACAACTGCTGTTTCAAAGATGGATAATTAGAGTTTAGACGGCCAAATAACTGGAGTTCATAAGTCGAAGGTTCATGAAGACCACGCCTTAAAGTGCTGGCTACAGTGCCATAATGACCTGCTATTACAAGTTTTTCTCTGATTTCCAATTTCCGCATTAGACAAAAGAGGTCATCAAAACGCCAGTAAATATTTCACTCACAGCCAAAATATCTTTTTTGAAAAAATATTTCTGGCATGCTTTTGTCCCATACTGCACAATCCTTTGCCGACGCTCATTCACGCCTCTCCGTCCCATCATCCTCACGTCTACTCCTTTGTGACCATGCATAAGAAAAACTTACTTTAGCGTTTTTCCGTTAAACGGGTAAAAGCTAACGAATGGTTAACGGACGGATGAGAGCATGCAAACTGTTCTGGCGAACTTGCAGGAGCTCAATGAAATGAGCGGTTTGATCATTGCCAAGACTGTCTCTGAAATTCCAAGAGCAATCTTTTTAGCGGAGATCGTTATTTATCATCAGATGCAAACTCTCCTTTGCTGTGTAGCCGCCGAAAACTTCTCAAAACCAGTTCCACCTGAACGAAAAATGTAAACTTGTACTGATCTGAGGACAATATCATAACCATATAAACCGGATTGTACTCATGATTTATACCTACGGATAAAGTGAGCCCCTTTGAGCCTTTTGAAAGATCTCCGCAAAGTCGTTGAATTTATAAAGCATATCTAGCCATGGCCATCGATGGCTTTATTGATTTGAAGGAGTTTTAAACATCACAAAGTTGATCTTAACGCGCGAAGTCTTGAACAAATACCTCCAATATCGCTAAACCTTTCTGATGTGCTCAGCAGATTGCTTCAGGAAATTGGACCCCTCCATCTAGAGATAGCTTTTCCATCTGTCTTTTATACAAGAGAAAAGGCCTTACGTATTGTCAGAAAACGTGAGAAAGACTTTTCAATAAGTTGGCTCTTGTGTGTCATTGATTAATTCGTTGACTGATCTGCTGAATCATTTTTAATAGATTTCTTGATCAAAACATTGGGAGAGTTTGACATCACTTACCCAACTGAGTTAGATCACCGTGATGAGGTGATCGATCATGTGACAACCCTTTCCAGCCATCGACGTCGCCGGAGGAGCCTGACAGAAGAAGCTGGGCCCATCATCTATCAGGTATCATTAGACCCTTTCCAACAGTTGCTCCACCTTAAGTAGGAATTGTCAGAATACTCATGTGACTCGCACGTTGTAACTTTCAAAACTTCAAGCATAACTTATTATATTGGGATAAACGTGCAAATCTGCCTTGAGCATGAAGGAAGGCGTGGTATATTAGTTTGGTAAGGTAGAGGTATGTTATGATGAGAAGAAAAAGCTTAAAAGGAACGAGGATGGGAATGAATGGAGAGGACTGAAATTAAAACGGATTAAATACCTATAAACCCAAGAATAAAAAACTGTGACATGACGTTAGTAAGGGTTTTGTTTGTTAAAGGCTACTTACATACTTGCACTCAGAATGAACCTATGCTTGAAAGTGTTAGAGGCTTACCAGAGAAGGCGTACGGCTTGGTTTTCAACCTGGATTCGTTGATTTGTCTACCCGTCTATCTATTGATCATTTAGATTTTGTTTTCTTTTTTCTGTTTTGTTTCTGCAGGTCCAGTTTAAAGGAAAGACTATTAAATTAAACCTACGAATAAACACGTTGCTTTTCGGATCAGATTTCACTACCGAGCGATATAAAGAAGACGGCACTATTGAAAGAACCAAATCCTCAGACCTTCACTGCTATCTTGTCGGCGAAACAGAATCATTTTACAGTAGCGTGGCTATAAGTGATTGTGATGGACTGGTACGTATTGTACTCTCAAGGATCTACGCTTGATCCGATAATTACAACTCGTTCGCTCTTATTGTAATGATTCGATTTAGCACCCGGAGCGCTTATTTACTTATGGTACTTCAAGAGAGGGCGCTTATCAGGGAAAGGCGCTTTCTCTCTTTTGAAATAGCACAGTGTGTGAAACAAAGTTCTGATGTTTTTTTCAAAATGGAACATTAGTAGGTAATGTATAAGTAATGAGGTAGCCATCCTAGGGAGGAAGGGTGTGTGATAAGCCTTGCTTATCTGAAAGGGCATATCATTACTATTTAAAAAAAAAAGAAATGTTAGCTTGGAGTACTCAAGGTGACACAATCCAAATTATGAAATAAAGAAGAATAAAAAAACTGTTGGTCAGAAAAAAAACGTTATTTCCAATCTTTTTGCCGTGAAAAAATGAAGCTTTGTTTCTGCTTTTTACCAGCCGTTGATTTACTGGCCGACGATGTTAAGGAGTTATTTTGACGGGTGGAACGCGCTTTAGTGGCCGTTTTCGTTCTAGAAATATTAACATGACAGTAAGATTGGGACAGTATGAGCTTCCTTTGGGAATTAGGAACTGTAAGGCCGTGGCTAAGGGGGACCGCTTTTGGATGTTTGACTTAACTCTTTTTAAAAGCTTCATCGACTAGAACTTCTTGTAATAAGAATCACTTCATGAATCGTCAGTAAATAGCTTTAGAGATTATAACCCTCTAGTTAAAAAAAGGAAAATTTCTCTCTCTTTTCCAGGCAGGAATCATAGATCTCGGAAATGACACAATTTATATCGAGCCTGTGCTTAACAAAAGCCTGGTGACACATCGAGGCTGGACCAGACCAGGAAGACCTCATCTGATGTATAGAAAAGCTGTCTTAGAAGAAGAAGTTCCACACAACTTGGAGTTTGACGAGTTTCAAACGGAGGACTACCCTACGGGACTGAAAGGTTTGTCGACAGATAAATGCCCCATTCTATATTTTTGAATAATAAATAAATTAATTCCTCTTGACAAATAAGCTGTAAACACTAGTCTTATTTTTTTGACTAGCATATAAAAGAATAATAGAACTATTGCATCGAACCTATACAAAGAGTTCTTTGCAGAAGCTTTTTGAGTGAACTTTGTGAAACGAAAATCATACTTTTGAGAACTAGAAATCACAACAAAGCAAAATATTTCAAGGAACCATTGAGAATTCAATTAAAAAACATTCAATTGTTTGAAGCTCGGTAAAGAGGTATAGATCAAGTCGTCATTGGTGTGATTTAACGTGAGTTTTCCAGACCGATCACGGCGCGTACTGAGGAAGAAAATTAGAAATTGCTCTCTGGATTCTTAAACAGATATAGCCTTTGAAGCAGATAATCAGATAATCGGACAAATGTTATGTCAGTGCAGGGGCATTAGCGTGAGTATTTAAAAAAAGTCTCACGTGAGGAGTGGCGCGCTATAGTGCGTCTCCACAACTCGCATTCCACATACTGGGTTATTTGAGCGCCTCAGCAGCAAAATATCTATCAAAAGTTACTCCATTTAGGACCGATAGGATAAACACGACAGTTTCTTCGTGGTCCACGTCCCCAAAATCTTTATGTAACCATTTCTTGAAATAAGAGCAGCTGTTGTTTTGGTCAGAACTATTCTTGCTAATCGTTTTTGGCGCCCAGACGACGTGTATTTAACATTCCAACGTAAAAAAGGGAGTGATAAAAATAAATAAAGATAAAAAACAAACAAACGAATGGCGATTATCCCAGATTACGACTTTTCAAAGAAGAAAAAAAATTTTTTTTTTTTCATCACATTTCAAAAGGAGACTATTGAGGCGATGATAATTCTCTTAATTGAATAATCGACTTCGTTGAGTTGTGGAGTGCCCCAGTTGTTAAAAAATTTACACCTTCTCCTAAAGCAAAGCATGCTGGATGATACGCATGACAGAATCATGACAGAATCATGACAGAATCATGACAGAATCATTTCCGTAAACTAGCGCAGATATTCCGGTGTGCTGAAGTCGATGCAGTCTAAAGTATGCTGGCCCGCTAATAGACCAGAAAAGATAGAACAGAACTTTTTAGAAAGGACAACATATGTTGATTGTTTTTTCTTTATTTGATCTACATATGTAAAGCTATTTAACCAAAGTCAAATTGTCCGTATTATGGTCGGCGGATAATTCGAGATAATTCGTTTGAGTCAATCACCCGACGACAAAAAGTTGAACTTTTGCTTTCAGTCATAGCTTGCATTATAAACACGGGTTTTAGACGGCAAGTGAAGTATAATCCGCTTCCAATTCGATTTGTCGAGGAACTTTAGTTTGTCGTCAATTCACAGGGTGTTACCGTCTTGCCGACAGATCCGGATAAACTCCTCATCAGACTGATGACTAGCCATTAATTATCTAAATCTTAAGATATCACACAAGCATTATTTCCGATATTTCCGATAAGTAGGCGGAAATGTTGATGCGGTACGTTTATCACAAAGCTTTCAAATAGAAATGATCGGCACTCTCTTTACCGTCGCTATGTTCATCATAGAACGAGCCATTAGTATAGGAATTATAATCCTCTTAAAGGAGGAATAAGCTTCGAAGTCTGGGTAATTTTTTCATAGTTAAATCAAATAAATTCTATTTTGACCCACCGATGACGTCCAAATAAAGAAAGAATCGTTGTAGGTAAACTGCAATTGCAGTAATGGTAGAAAATTAAAGAAGCATTCGGAAAAGAAAACTAGGCGGCGATGGGATGCTAACCTGCGCCTGCTAGACACTACTTGGTTCTTCATCTTCACTATTAAAAACATGTACAGAAATTTACTTGTTTCTGTGTTCTGAAATGCTCGAGGGTTATTGTATTCAAATGCGCAAAATTCGACTCTGGACGCCACCAGTTTGAAAACAATTCAATTAGATAAACGGAGAGTGAATGTTTCCGACGCAAATTGAATATATATATATATATATATATATATATATATATAAATAAATATTATGAGAGGAAAAAACGATTTAAACCCCTGAAGAGTGAAGCGATTCACGAAACAGGCTTGTCGGGATATGTAGTTGCGTCGTTTTTTCCTCTCATAATATTTATTTATATATATATATATATATATATATATATATATATATATATGTATGTATGTATTTACGCGAGTTTGAGTTTGACCATTTCGCCAGTTCTTGTTCCATATTGTACGTGTAAGTTGTAAAATTCGGAAGTTGCCGTGAATTTGAAATAGGTCAGTTTCTATTGTGGTATTTGCTAACTTTTGGGGAGAAGCTATGAAATCAAAACAATGCCCTGTGAAATGTCCTCACGTAGATGGTTTTCCTTTGAAAAAGAACAGACCATTCATTACTGAGTTGTAAATACATGTTTAGTGCAGTTTGTTAATCAATGGTTGGCTTGTTGAGCCGCCTCGCCGTAAGCCTATGAATTCCCCACCCCGCCTCCCCGAATCAAAAGCATTAAAATCATCATCATCATCATCATCATCAACTTTGGGCCGAGTGATTAACGATTTAAATTTAAACTCTCGTATCTTTTGTCTAGCAGTCTAGACTGGACAAAATAACTAGTCTCTTTAAAAAAATAGCTTTGGCTAGTCTAGTTTTAGGACATTTCTTTTGTTACGTATTTTCCTCATGTATTAATTGCAGATATGCTGTTGTTGTGTGCTGAAGATTGTTGCTATGGCATGTTTGTGCAGTAATAACAGCATTCCACCCTCACCCTCTCCGCCGTTCCCCCTCCCCCCCCCCCCCCACCTAAACCTTTCTACCTTTCTTTCAAACGGGGGTCGAGTCTGTTCTTAATCCTTGTTTTCAGTTGTTCGAAAGGTTCTTTCCTGGGTTAACGAGTTTTTTACCACCACAAAAATCGACTCTCTATAATCTGATTTGAAGTGGAGACAGTGAATGCGCAACAAAAATTCCATTTTTTTTCACTTGTTTTATTTTGCTTTGGTGATTGCGTCACTTGAATTAAACAAGTGTTTAGTGCTTTACAGCTTCACTTTCTAGTGATTAAACTAAGTATGTCAAACTCCACTGGAGCATAATTAACAGGGAAATTCATTCAGGGATGTTTCATTGATGACCTCCACACATATTACAACATTTTCCTTGTAGCGGACGGAGAACCGAATGAAGCCGAAGCAGCTCGCTCTTTAAGCGCTTACCTTCAAATAATAAACCGCTCAGGCCGAGCGATCAAGGTGATCTTGATATACATTCATCATTCTTGAAAATGGTTGAGAAGGCTGCCTTTAGTTAAAAGTGGCTTATGAGACCACTCCATTCATGAAGAGTACTCCATTATCAATTAGATTTCCACCTAGATCGATCAATTCTGAAATCGTCTCCTATAATCTAAAAGAATGAAAAAGAAAAAAGGGTAAAACCATCAAAAGATAATTAATCCTTTGTGCATTTACCGGTCTGGTAGGTCTATACCGGAAAATGGTAAACGCCTCTGATATCAAATGTAAATTGTCGTCACCCATGATTTTACTCGGTATATGTAACCTCTTTATATTCTTCACATTTTCATAAGGGGGCTCGCTTAATGTTTCATTTGACGTTCCCCTTGTAACGCTCACTCCAATAACTATTGTTTAATGGTCAGTTAATTTACTTATCCTTCGCTCTGACGAAGGGGTAACTTTCGAAACTTCAGCTTTAGAAACTCTTTTAAGTGGCCATTTTACATTATCAACTCTGTTTATAAAAACCAAATTGTCTTGTAATAACTCTCACCGACGCAGCACCACAGTATTTGTAGAAATTTAACATATTTAGTTCACTTATATGTCAATCGATCAAGGAAGTAAGCAATCGGCCGTGACCAAATAAACAACGGTTGACGGGGCATTTTTTAAAATATGGTATATTTTCATTGATGACAGATGTATTATGTCTTCGAGGGAAAAGAAAAATACTTTCGAATCTTAACAAAAGGAGCAACACTGGAAATAGATACTTATACGGTTCATAAATGGATAGCTAAAGACTACGACACCGGCAAAGCGCTCTTTCTCAATAGGCAAAAGACTTACACACCACCAACAGGCACCAATGCTAAAAAACCAGCCAATGTTTACGTCACTATACCACGTGAGTTACACACCAAGTTTATCTGTCTCGACAACGACATATGTGGAACACAGCAGTCAAACGTAGGGCATGCACGAGCTCGAGGGTATCAGTTTTGCGCGCCTGCTCGCCAATTTCCCGCGCGAAATTTCCAAGGAAAAGATATAAAGATCGCAAAACAAGAGTTAGAAATCTGGAAAAGCAAAGAAAATAGGGAGAAGGAAAACTCGAGACTTATTGAACACAAAACTTATTCAAGTAAGCGCATCAGGTTAATTTACCGTTCTGTTTTGAACCTCACCAAAAGAGTTAGACACTTCTCAAACACCGTGATTTACTGGCTTGTGTGGTTGTTTGCAACTTTTGTGAGACAGCGTGATTTCGACTGCATGAAAGCACGCCACCCAGTCGGTACAATGTTCGTACATTTTCAAATGTTTGACCGTTGTGTTCATCTAAAGGGGTTGGATTTATTCGCTTTGCTAGATTTATTGTTTAAGAGATATAAGATAAGTCGTGAGAAATCATTGGCCCATTTCTGCCCGTCCAGATTATCCTTGTTTTCACAGAGGAACACATGTAGGTGTTGTTCTAAAATGAATTTTAGTCTATAAAAATAGGAGGATTAGCCTCTTAGGACTGGTATTTAGCCCTTGATCCTCCATTAACCTTTAAATCCTTGCTGTGAACCCATCCAAGTCCATCGATGGAATCTACACACCTGTCATTCTTTCCACATGACGCAAGCATTTTGTTATTTTTTAGCTGGACTTAAGCTTCCCGACCCCTTGGGTCCCGCTCAGCCAAACAGCCACATAACATTCATCAACAAATCAAATCGCTTTGTGAAGGTGAGGCGTCCTTTGCGTCTTGTCGATATTATAAATTAAAGGAACAGGAGTATATTTTCCTTATATTCAGTCAGTTCTCCTAAGAAAAAATAACGCATTGTGAAACAGGTAAGTGAGTTATGAGAATAAAGTAGATAAACAACTGAGGGGTGTCTTATGTTGTCATCTAATCTTGAGCCAAGCTTCTGCTTTACTGGAAGCATAATAAGCAGGCTCGAGAACAGACAGCGTTTGAAGCGTTTAGTGTTAAATCCTCTAATAATTGGCTAAGAACTCGTTCGAAAATTTTGATCATCAGTATTCAGGTTTCCATAGTTGACCATCGAAGAACCAGGAATATTCATTGGAGGTTCTTCTTTTTGCTCCCAAACCAAAAAGAATGCAAAATTCTGCCCTGTGGTGCACTACACTGTTTCTTCATTCATTTCTTTGAATCTGTTTGTTTTCGGTTTCCCTTATGTTATGCGCAAGTTCTGCAAGATCTCAGACATTTTTCTTATGTATGATTTTCCTCTGTAATGTACGTAGCGATGGAGGCTGCCTGTACTTGTGCCTTTTGTTTGATCGTGACCGCTGCATGATAAGTAATCCTCGCGGAAGAGTCTCTTGACCTTGCCTAATTTTCTTTCCTTTCCGTCTCTCGAAGATTTACTACATCGAGGATGGCGAGACGAGATTTTTTAGCAATCTTTCTCCTGCAGAGGAAATGCATGTGAATACTTTCACCTCTCACCGGTGGTTTGCCAAGGACCTGGATACAGGCAAATCTTTCCTTGTGAACGGAGAAAAACAGTACATCCCGCGGGAATCGCATATTGATCGTCGGATACATGTTGCCATTACCGTGCCAAGTTCGTGATATTTTTGCCGTAAAAAAATTTATTATGTTTTAAGTGACCCAAAGTTGTGGTTGATGATAATAACAATGATGAGGATATTGATGCTGATGATGATAACGATACTGCTGCTGCTGCTGTTGATGATGATGATGATGAGCAGCTGCTTCATTACGTTTCCCTAAAATATTAAGTTTTTTTCGAGTTTTTTTGAAAGCGCCTCTCACTTTCATCTAAGCGTTATACACTTACACCAGAAAGCCAGCTCTAAGAAGCACGGACTGTACTCACAACTTGGTGCTCTCATGTTAAGAGAATATCAAATATTTTCAGCGTACGTACATGCTTACTGACCCTACTGCTTTGTCAAGTAAATAAATTGCGGTTTTCATTGGTAAACGATCTCCATTGGTTTCACAGGTACAATCTCCCTGCCTGATATGAAGTTCCCTGAAATGGTCAAAACCCAACCAAAATACATAGAAGTAATGGCAGCCGCTGATAGTTCTGTGGTGAAGTTTCATGGCAAAGAGAAAGCAGAGAAATATGTCTTAACTTTGATGAACATAGTAAGTAAATTCCTTCATATCTTTTCTATTACCTTTTTACGGCGGCAAATTTATATTATCAACTTAGTTGATAAGACAAAATTATGTTGCTATACCCCACAGATAGAGCACCGAAGTTTCTTTAAAAACTGATCCCCTTATACCAAAGGAGGACTGTTACCGACAGTAGTGACTACCATTTCTACAAACTTAGAGGAAGTCACTATCAGAGAGTCAAGACTTGACTTGACTAGAGTACCTTGACTGATGATAACTCCCGCTCAGGATGTCGAACGTCAGTTGCCGACAAAAGCCCATTTCAGAACTGCTCTCACCCAAAGACACCCATCACGATCAAGTGAAGCTAATTAAGCTGGTCCTTTTGTGGGGACTCTCTTTTTGCATCAGGGAGGTGGATGTAAAAGAATATCTCCATAGTGATATAACTAGCCTGTAACTGTCCTTTTTCAATGTTTCCTTTGTCACAGGTCTCCAGAATATTTCAGCACAAGTCAATTGGTGCTCCTATCTATTTTGTGGTCGTTAAACTTGTTCTTCTGGAAAGAGACCCGGTAAGACACGATTCCTAATAATTTATAGAGTGTGAAGTTTTCTTAAATTACGTTCACTTGGACAGGATGGCACGGAAAAAAGCTTGATTTTGCTTAACTTTCCCGCTCTAATCGTTGAATCACGTTTTCACGTTTGTTTGTAAATTGTTTCCAGTGCTGCCCCTTCAATAATTTCATCATTCAGTATTGCGAATGAAGGAAAGTATTCGTGCATATCCGGATATGGACGACGCGATTCATATGGTAAATACGTAGTAAGCTGCCATGAGAATGAACAGAACATCAGGATTAGGGCAAGAGTGTTTTTTGCTCAAAGGTTCAAATCTCACCCTAGAAATAACGGTTCCAGCTGATTTTCATACGCTCGTATTCTGCACGTCCGATGTGCAAAGAAGGGACCGTAGTTTAACCCTTTACCCACCAACATCAGTATGCATATTCTCCATACTGTTCTCTATACATTTCCAAAGAGGCTGACAGGGAGAATTTGTGTAACAGTCAAGAGCTTCTTTAGTTGATAATCATCTCTTCTTTTCTCATAACTTTCATGTTTGATTCAGGGGTGATTAAGTAAGGGGAAACAAGATACTAGTCACTCTTGGGGGCTAAAGGGTTAAGCAATCAGGACGGCAACGCTTAGGAAAACGTCGATTAAAAAAATTAATCTGTCTTTTTCTTCTAAGAATGTCTAGAATGAGTGGATGCGATTACCGTCTTAAACGGCGTCAGACCTCATCTTCAGCATAAGATTTGTGAGCAACGTTCAGTTCTAAATGGAAACATAATAATTAGCCGTCAGAGCCGCGCAACTTTTGGTGATTTCACGTTGTTGTTCTGCAGAGGACGGCTAGGAAATGTACAAAATTTTAAAACGCACGTGCCGTTGTGTGCTTATAAAATATTCTGTTTTGCCACTTTCTCGTTGCCGTCGCCATCGTGGTTTGTTTAAGTCTCTACTGAGACGTTTTGATCGAGTTTGCAGCGTGGGCTGTGTAAAGTTAAAACATATTGCAATTGTTTGTTGTATCTTAGAGAGAAATCAAAATTACCGGCAAACCGATGGCAAGCTTATCAAGTGTTTGTTACTGGGGCCATAAGACGAGGAAAGGCTTTGACAAAGTCGACAAAGATTTTTACGATCAGACCGTGTTTCTTACAAGGTAACAGTCTTTCACTTGTACCATATCATATGCATATTGGGTAATCTGAGTGAACGTAATCTGCGAAATGTTACTTGCGTCTGTCTTTAAGGGCATCGGTAGTCAGGGGCGCCGCCTACAAAGAAGCAAACTCCGATCCCACTTGAATAAAATACATATACGTTACTGTCACATTTGTGTCACCATTGAAGGGACAACTCTCTTTGGAGGACTTCTGGCGGATATTTTCATTTATTCTTACAAGATCGTCGAGGCTTTCCGAACACTTCGGAAAGTGTCACTTATTATCGTAACTGCTTTGTACCTGATCGAATGTGTATCTTATTATTGGATGCGAACCGTATCTTTAGCAGGAGCTCTTAATTGCTTATCGTGTATATCGCTTAACTAATGTGCTTTTGTTTTGTATCTTTTATCTTTTCACAGAAAAGACTTTGGACCTTCAGGTACTAGACTTAATCGAAGCAGTTTCTTTTCGACTGGTCTGTTGAGGGATGCGAACGTGAATGTACATTCATCAGTATACCTTTCATTGTCTTTCGTCATTGAAAACTGAATTCGAGCTAATTAAACCAATTTTCATCTTTGATCTATTTTTTTTTATTCGGAAGGCTTGTATCAGTCTGAGGTTTTCCTGTCAATTGAAATTAATCATTTGATTTTGCTATGTTGACGAGAATATTATTATGAGAATCGTAAACGATGAGGGAAAACTGGAAAGATGTTCATAAGGTCTCCAGGTGTGCCGGTTTCAAGTCTGTCATTGCCGCTGCTCGGTAGTGTAAAGGGTCTGACGCATGCAAAGCATTTATTATTGTTCTCTACCAGTGTTTAAATCATTCCATATCCAAACGTTGCAATAAGTACGAGTTTTAAACCAATTGAATTGCCGATCTCCAGGTTACGCCCCAGTTCACGGCATGTGTTATCGAGTACGAAGCTGCACTCTGAACGAAGAAGACGGATTCACTTCATCATTTATCATCGCTCATGAGACAGGACATACGTAAGTTGTAGCTCATAGCGCATAGATTATTGTGCATTTTGCAACATGCGCTGAATCTTCGTTACGCATTAAGCGTTGCGCATGTTATACAGTTTAAAGAGCTTGGTGTTTGCGTATATATATATATATTGCCCGTGAAGTTTCAGATCCCATAAACCTACTTTTCTAGTTACATAAACCAAACAAAAACACGATACTTTCTTATTATAAACAGGCTAGGAATGGAACATGATGGAGTGAAGAACAACTGTTCTAATGACGTCATCAAAGGCAGTATCATGGCGCCTCTGGTGCGTTCCCGGTTTGACCGCTTCTACTGGTCTTCCTGTAGTCGGCGGGATCTGATTACGAAACTCAGGTACGTCACAGGATTATGTAATGCCATTTATGATTAACTGGTCGGTTGATTTATCGATTATTCCCAAAAATGAAAATATTTTATGCCTTATCATCTTACCTCGCATCAAATTACCCGTTAGCGTTTTACATTATTTTATCTTAGTTCTCCTCCTCATAAAGAAAATTAGATTGTGTTTTTATAATTCTTAGTCACCTTAAAATTTTTTTCACTTTTTTTTCTTTGTGTTTTTTTTTTCGTAGAGCTCTTTGGTGTATAGATGACGTACCATTTAGAAATGAAATACCATACTTGAAGAAGCTTCCAGGCCAGATTTACTCTATTGATGAACAATGTCAGCGTGAATTTGGTAAAAATACCAGATTCTGTAGCGGGGTTAGTTCAACTAGTTCATTTTGTGCGATAGAAGATATCGAAGGAACCGTAGGTCCATGATAAAACTCTCTTGGGTCTTAATGAGTGTCTTATGTGAGGTGATGGTTGTTTAGTTCGTGCATCTTGAAAATAGGCGTATATTTGAGTTGTTTTTATGTACGATCCCTGCCACGTTTTTTCTTCTTCGTCTTTTTTTTAGAGCTGTTTTCAATTGAGCGTCGAAAGTAATCCATGATAACTTTGGTTTTGCTCAACTTCACTCGACGATTGTCTAGAAAACTGAGGCCACCCTCTCGATCAATCAAATTCAAAACTAAAATCAATCCTGATTTGAACAATCTCTTGTTTTCCTGCCTTTCATGCCGTGTTCCCGTTATTTCTTGGTGCTCTAATTGACTAATCAAGACCTTCGCTCAGACTGATTGAGGTTACATTGGTTTTGGTTTTTGTAAACTCAGTGAAAACTGCTCTATACTTGTTCCCTTCTACTTTATTCTTGCAAATTGGGCGTCTTTGCACAGAACTATTGCTCTGACACTTTTTATGCTAGTTTACATTTCAGAAACGACTGAAGTTACGGTGATGTTGCTCGGTTATAGTCCTGTAGTTGCTCTCCTTCGCAAATTGTAATTTGGATTTTTTTTCGCTTCAACTTGGCAGATGAAGCGCGATCCGTGTAAAGAGTTGTGGTGCAGCCGTTTGTCCTTTTCAACTTATAACAACCGCTTTTGTCAAACAAGACGTACAGCGGCCTTGGAAGGAACAAAATGCGGAGTTGATAAAGTGAGATATGAATTAAGTTTTTCTACTTGATTCTGATATATACTATATACAGCAAAAATTATACCGGCCATTAGCTGCACTTGAAATAGGGAGGACTCTTGACACACATTCAAGAAAAATTCCTGCTTTATCAGTCTCTAATAAGCCCTTTAGCAGTTACAAGAACCTATACGGAAGATTGATCAAATTGTCAGACTGCGTTTTGCCGATAAATAAGACCTTATCATGTCTCGACGTAATGCTTTTACTCTACCAGTTGTGCGCGTATAATCCTTCATGATACTTACTGTTGTAACGGTTTTCTTCTACGCCAAAGAAAGGTCCGGTTGATGTTAAAATTTTATTCTAAAGCATAAATGTCACATGCATTTCCAACGAACTCAGCGTTCTTTCAACCGCTCTTACGTTGTCTCAATTAGAAGGCGATGATTTGGTACATATCTAAGTCAACCCAAGACAGGACTCTGTTTCTATATGTCATTTAAATAGCGACTGTCTGAAGAACAACTGAATGTTTCTATTCCCCAGTGGTGTCGATTGGGAGAATGCGTCCCGGTGGATGATGATGAAGATATCAGCATTCCTCTGCCTCGACCAAAAGTTAAACCGGTTCATGGTGGCTGGAGTGAATGGAGTGGACTCAGTGAATGTTCAAAACCGTGCGGTGTAGGGATCCGTTACCAAACAAGGAAGTGCAATAATCCAGTGTAAGTGTTGTCACAGTTTAAAGAATCGAGTCAATATTTAGCACCGTATGTTAGATTGAGAGGATGTAACGGATTTCATTCACACAGTTAAGGTGAATGTGCACGATATGTCTTTTACGCACCCTACATTCTGAATTTCTAGAGAGTGTCGTTCTTCTCTGGAACAAAACCAGCCAACGGTCAAGATTGGCTGTTATTTTGAATATCTCTAACCTTTAAACAGAATATAAGCTTTTGCTGGTGTATTATGTGGTTATGAGTGCGGGTTTCGAGTTTGCCTTTATCGTTAGCTTTCAATTTTGGAGGTTAAGTACGTAACGGCCATACTTGAAGGGCGTGGTAAGTTCGACCTGATGCAATTCTGCCAGTTTTCTGAACAGAATTAATAGCGGTAATTGAACTAAGTGCAATTTGGTCTGAAATAATGCTCGTAATTTCAAAATTAAATCTCCATTTGGTATGACTCCTTTAGTGTGTTTTTCTATAACTTTGTATCATAAATTTAATTTTTGATTGTATCAGTATTTACAATGTAACTATTGTATTGTAGCCTTTTACTCAGAAGAAGAATAATGATGTAGAAAATTAATTTATTTTGCTTGTAGGCCTCAAAACCTCGGGAGACCTTGTGAGGGGGAAGATGCTAAATTTGAACTTTGTAACACTGAGGTACGTTTTAATAACGTCTGTTGCGTCATCAATAGCATCGTAAATGCTATAATAACCAACCAATGACTGCTTACCGGCTAAAGATAGCAGCATGAATAAGAGCCAACGTATGCAAGTGACTTACATCTACGAACTTGAGGACTTTTAAACTCTACCATAATGGCTTGTTTATCTTTTTCACCAGGACTGCCCTGGTCAGCTGTTAACGTTTGAGGCGTCAAGAAATGAACAGTGCAAGAGACGCGCACCTTTGATTTTACCAGAAATTGCCGGCAACTGGGCAGCACATGATATCTTTAAAGGTTAGATCTCACTTTGTTCAGGTTTTGTTATTGTTGTTGTCATAAGTTTTCCTGCATGCTTGCTTTCTGTTTTCCTTGTTTTTGTTCTTTTCTTGCGGAGTTCATTCTTCAAGAAGTTAAATTTTATCTTTAAATTCCTGACTTGCCTGCTGATATCAAGACCCTTTGGAAGTATCTTTTTATGTTTTTAACTCGTATTCTAAACAATTTCGGAAACAAAAAGGTGGAAGACATGTGGTACAAGCGTGAATCAAAGAAAAACGATCGATATGACTTTTCCGTAAAGAAGTGTTGTGTCTGTCGCTAGGATCAAAATGCTGAAGGCTTCCTGTGTGGAGATGGAGTAAATAGATTTCAAGGCTGAGCTTGGTCCTCGGAGAACGAAATGTTTCCAAGATTATTCTGATAGGGAATGATAATATATATCGCGGGAAAAATGTATTAGTCTTGGTATGACCTGCTCTATGATTAAACAGCCACGGCCACGGAAAAAAGGATGAATACTCTTGTAATTTTCAGCGCTTCTTACCGAGTACCATAGTTTTGGTTGCGTTTAATTCTTCTTTCAGAAATTTGCTCAATGATAAGGACTCCATTTCCCTGATGCCTCACGCTGTCGAATTAAAGAGTAAATTCATCAAACCTTATCTTTCCTGGCTAATGCTGCTTTTTCATTTCTCTTAAAATCACTTAGCGAGCATCGACTGTGACTTTGAGACTGGTCTGTGTGGCTGGACAAATGATGCTCATGATAATTATGACTGGAAGCACAACAAGGGTCGCACCCCGACCGCTGGTACAGGACCCTCCGCAGATCACACTAAAGGAAGAGATGGTGAGGAAGGAAAAATCCAGCATTTGGTTATTACTGTAATCCTTACTTCTTTCCCTTTTCTATTCATTGCTATTTGGTAGTAAGGTAATTTGGTATCATCAACTGAGTTGATAACGTAAATTGGCCACCGTAAAGAGTTCCAAAGCGGACGTTTCGAGCATTAGCCCCTCTCAGAGGGAATAACGAAGGGCTAACGCTCTAAACGTCAGCTTTGAAACTCTCTACGGTGGCCAATTTACGTTATCAATTCAGTTGATAATACCAAATTACTGTGTTATACTCTCCCACCGACGCAGCAGTACAGTTTCTTTAGAAACTTACCCCTTCATTGTTATTGTGTAGTGTTAAGTTCTGCAAGCTGGTTAAAATGAAGACAATTTTGGCTCATAGAAGTTGGTTGTTCTTCTGCATCCAATATTAGCTCCGTTTTCATTAACTCTTTAATCCCTGAGGGTGACTAGAATCTTATTTCTCACTAAGGTATCATTATTGAATCCAACATAAAGGCTTATGAGAATCAAGGGAACGATCACAAACTTGGACAGCTCTTGATTTTTATGTCATAGATATGATTTTTTTTTTAATTGAGGTATATTTTTTTAAAATATGGCGTAAATTTGCCTGGAGTAAAATCGGAATCAAATAAGAACAAGAACACTGAGCAGTTTTCTCATCAACAGGGTTATGTGACTGTTAACATATGTTTCTTCGTACTTTGTGTGTAGGCCATTACGTATTTTTGGAGACCTCTCGGCCACTTAACCCTCAAGACAAGGCCCGTTTGATCAGTCCGTATATAGGACTTAAGGTTGCATGTCTAAAGTTCTGGTATCATTCGTTTGGTGACAATGCACATATGGGAGAGCTTCAACTTATCATCAAAAGCGATACAGTGAGTATAATTCTGAATGCACAAATGACTTACATGTGGTGATGAAATCAAATAATCCTTGCAGTTAAATCGCGTCAATTTGAAGTCCTTAAGGTATTTTTTTCCGAACTCTTATGACCAGTTTGAGTTCAGAAGGTGTGTGTAAATAATGTAACAGCAACTTGTCGTCAAGGAAGAAAAGTTCCTCAACCCGATCCGAACCAATGTCAGTTTAGGGTAGTCAAGCGAAAGAAAAAAAAACTCGTGTACCGTTCATAGGTTTCTTATTTAGTCTCGAGCCTAGAAACATGACATGTGGCTGCTTTTTTTTTTTCAGTCTGTTCTTTTCATGTTTTTCTTCTCTGACTCTTTTCAGAAAGAGATCCGGTGCCAAAAGAAGCAAAATTTTTGACATACTGTGCGGTTCTTTTCTTGATATTCTACGATAAACTTTTATTCAAGCATTTCTTCATTTTGCAGGGCGAAAAAGTTGTCTGGGCGGTTAACAGGAATAGAGGAGACAATTGGGTATGGAGGCACGTCACGATATTCAGCAAGAGGCCATATAGGGTAAGTAGTGCTATAGGTTGTGCAGTCTGAGAGGTTTAACCCTCAAACATCCAAACATCAGTATGTGTATTCTCCATATTTTCTTTATACATTTCCTAAGTTGCTGACATGGAGAATTTGTTTACCGATCAAAAGCTTCTTTCGTTGGTGATTATTTCCTTTATTCTCATGACCACAATGTGTGATTCAGGGCTGATATTGTAGGGAGAAATTAGATGCTGGTCACTCTTAGGGCTTAAAGGGTTAAAGCAGACTATGATTAGGAATGAGGTCATATCTTCAATTTTTAATTAAATATTAACTTCCTTTTCTTCAACTGACTTTGAAGGTAACTTTTCACGTCTGATCATAGGCAACCACGCTATGTTTTTCTTATTCTTTTGCGCCTTTCGTTCCCAAGAACGAAAGCGACGTAGAAAGGAGTGACAAAGATGCATCCAAACCATAAGCCGGTCTCTTTAATTTCCCAAATCAATATTAGCAACGCATGGCAGTCTTCGGCTTATCTCAGCACCTAAGCAATTCGGACAATCGCAAGGCTCTAGAAAAAAAAAACGACAGATGTCAACGAGAGAACTTCGGAACCTATTATTAGCTAAGCGTGGACCATGTAATCATGAACGGAGGCATAAAAGAGTTTACTCGCTGCCATTAATCAAGACTAACAGATTTAAGAACTCATTTATTATGCGCAATGCAGTCAGGGCTACTTGATAGTCCAAATTTCATTATTATATTTGCCGTATATATATAGATTATCCATTATTTTTTTAAAACATGTAATTCAGCCTCACGACTGCCAGATATTATTTTAATAAACGACTTATCTCTCAAAAAAAATTATCTTTCAAACCGGTCTTCTTAATCCCTGCAGTATCTACAAACGTTTTTCATTCTACTAATTCGTTCTTGTTTTTATGTTACCAAGTTTCCATCAATAGAGTGGCTCCATTTTTCTGCATATAAAACACACACAACCCACAATTCCTCAATTCGCTCTGGCAAAGGGCTAACGCTCGAAACGGCAGCTTTAAAAACTCTTTACGGTGGTTAACTTACATCATTCATACATTTGATAAACCCAAATTATCTTGTAATATCCCCACTGAAGTAGCAAAACAGTATCTTTAGAAACTACTCCCTTTCTTGATTAGTACATAGTCTCTTCCGCATCGCTCTACACATGTTCAGCCTCGTCACATCCAACGCCCTCTTTTCCTGAGAAGAAGTTAGGTGCGCAGACTCGGCAGTTGCTTGTCATACATGAAGATGATAGATTTTCGAGCTCATCAAGCCTCATCATTTTACCCATCATTTCATTGTTGCAGATCGTATTCCAAGGAGTGAGAGGTGACGGATACCTCAGTGATTTCGCTTTGGATGACATCTCACTTGAAAACAACCCATGTGGCCTGGGAATGATGAGATTCACAACAATTAACAACAGTATGTTCCTCTTCAGTAAAATCCACCCTCTAAGTAACATTAGAAGTAAATCTAATCGTTTCTGTTTTAACTGAATTGGGTGACTATGAAATGTTGCATGGTAACAGTCTCAGTAAAACTTTTCTCTTTTTATTCGTCTGACATTTGTAGATAGACTGATATTAAGGGTGTTTCGACCACACAGTACATCATTTGCTAACGACCACATCTCTACAAATACCACCTCACTACAATAGCTACATTTATTGTCCCGGCCGAAGGTCCATACATACACACCTCTCTACGACGGCCACCTCTCGAGAAAGACATAGGCCTTTAGGCGCGTTCCAGCTGCGAATTACCAGAATATAACAGTCAATTAGTAACCGACAGTCAGGCGAAACGTGCGACGACTCACTCACTCTTGACGTTTGTACGTGGTAAAAACATCAGTGACTCACTCGGCTGCGCCTTAAGTGCCACCTTTTTGCTCTTACCACATGTTGACGCCATCTGTGATCTATTATTGAAAAGACTCACGACAACATAAAATCTATTTTTTTTATCACCTTTCTCTGACAGCACTTTTTTTTTCTTTTCTTAAGGTGTCCGTTGTAAGAAGGTTCGACTTTGAGTTAAGATTAGTCTTGTTTTCTCTACAGGACTCGACCTCAATCCTTGTCAACAGTTCTGTGAGGCAACTGAGAACGGCAAAAGGGTTGATATCGTACCACTGGACGTCGAAAACGGAACCAAATGTAACGACGATCTGACATCGTTTGATGTCTGTATTCAGAGTAAATGTCAGGTAAGTACCGTTTCGATCAGCGTAAGCGCTGTTAACCTTTAATTGCCGTGAGTGATCAACACAGAATTTCTCCTTACATTATCACAACAATATCAAGCAGACAAGCGATGAGAACGAAAAGAAATATCAATCAGGGGATTGTGAGGTGATGCAATGCCAAATTATTAGAAATAATATCATAGGAATTGTTTGGCAGACAATGAGGAGAATTACTATTTAGATCATAGGATTGAAAGGGTTACGGTAAATAACTTCGTCATTCTCTTATTCATCCTTTTTGGGAGATACAGTCGCCCAATGATAAGCGAATTTAACTAATTGCGGATAAAACTTTTCCCGATCCACAGAAAGTCGGATGTGATGGCATCGTTGGATCAAATAAAACTCTGGACAATTGTGGCGTTTGTGGCGGCGACGGTCACTTATGCACACCAAGTGAAGGATCCATCTCTTTGTTACCTAAAGAAGGTATTCTATCTTGCAATCGAATAAGGACCTTTCGTTCTTTAAAGAGTAGCGAAAAAAATTAGTTCTGGTGGAAATCTTGCGGTAATGATGTGAACTGTTGTTCAATAGAGGTTGACAAGAGTAATTTAATTGCGACGCTGAGTAACACTCGAAATGTTAGCTTTGTTATGATTCTCTGGTTTAGTGATCATCAATCAACCGATAGCTTTACTTGCGTGCCACTAGTCCGAGGACACAGCAACGCAGTTTCTTCAGAAAAGAAGGACTTTTGGTCATCCACAAAGGCTGGTTTTGGTTACCTTCATTTCAACTTACGTACCCAGTTGTTACCTATTTCTGCGTGTTATGTCTTCTAAAAGTTATCACGTGTGTCTTCTATTGTAACTGTTTTGTTTTTAACATCTCAGATCTTCAGACATTACTCGAGTGTCCGGTGGGGTCAACCAACATTATGTTGGAGGACACATCCCCCAATTTCTTAGGTTAGTATTTTGCATGTTGTGGTTCATATTAGGCAAACATTATCTCTAAATAAATAACGGCTTATGGTTAATCCTCCAATTTCAAAGCAGTCATAAATAAAAGTTCCACGATCTTATAAACCCAACACTTTACCGTGAAAGAAAACTTTCTGTATTTAAGGTAATCTTCGCATGTCCATACAAGTGACTCATTAAACGAGAGTTGATTCTCGAAGCGTTAGGTACACACGTAAAAGGAAGGATAACATGTAGATTGAGTCTTTTGTATGAAAACCCGCCTCTGTCAGGAAGCTCGGTACAAAGTAGTGGGCGTCCTTATGATTTTTTCGCTTATAATGGTTGCATTTCGTAACGATGGTGAGGGGTATTTTTCGTGTAAAACGTTGAAAAGAATTGCAACAAACTATCACAGCATGATTGATTGATCAACAGTTCTAGAAGCTATGGGTGCAGAGAAACAGTATTTGAATGGGGCCGAGGTGAAATCCGTCTCCTCAGTGTACAAATTTGCTGGCGCGAAGTTTATTTATACACGACATGGAAACAAAGAGAGTCTCAATGCGCTGGGGCCTCTCACGGATAGGATCAAAGTGAAGGTTAGTCTATAAATTCAAACAGGTATCAAAACATTTGAACGTGACAAAATACGTTTGAATTGCTCAACCATGTCAACATTGGTTATTATTAAGACGCATCCCACAGGCACCAATTAGGGAATACAAAAATAAAGTTAGTATCTGTGGAAGAAGTGAAAATGGAGTTACGTAGTTTCTAAGAGGGGTGTCCGAAAATTTGTCTGATTTTAAATGATATTGTGGGCCTGATTACATGAGCCGGGTTGGCCTAGTTTTGCCAGGTTTTGACGAGATCTCGTCACTTTTGTTTAACGTAACAAAAATCAACTTCGTGATTACATGAAATTATGACGATGATTACAGAAAAAAAATGAACCGTCAGCCGTAGAATGGCCAAAATTTAAACGGTTAACCATCACCCTATTAAGACCCTCCACTTATAGCTCACGAACAAGAAGTGTATGGTTACTTTATACATATACTCTTAATCAAATACAACGCTTATAGTTTACCCTCCACCTGTGATGTAACGTATCAAAGTAATAAATTCACGAGCCTCAGGATGACATGGAACCTTTCTTTTGGAACGTCTCTTAACAAGGGATGTTAACTTCTGTCCCAGCAAGAATAATGTTCCTGTAACTCCTTTACCTGTAATCCACACTCAAGGAACACATCTGTGCAGGGAACACTTTCTCTAGTCCCAAGGGTATCCACCTTACAGAGGATCCTACTGTAGCGAGAACTTGATAATTCTTAGTATGTAAGATGATATTCAAATATCCATTTACCGTGCAGTTACCCAGGAGAGTTTCCTAAGTTGTTCAAATTAGTACTCGTTCTTTCCCCGGCTACAACTGTTCAATTAAATTCATTCAGAAAGAAATGCTCTGTTGTTGCAGGTAAAGATTAGTGAGTCACCAGCGCCTGTAACTCTGCGTTATTCGCTTAACAAACCAAACAGCAATGAAAGTGATTTCTATTGGTCTCATCTCAAATGGTCTGAATGTTCCAGAACCTGCGGAGAAGGTTTGTAAATCAACAATAATAAATTAATTTTCCGGGTTCCACTTCAAGGAAAGAGAATGCTATTTAGGTTGTTAATTTTAGCAAATGCAAAGAATTTAAGAGAATTTTAAACGTGAGCTGAGAGTTGACAACGAAATCTGTTTTTTGCTAAATAGAGGCAGGAGTTAGTGCATTTCCTTGCTTGTGAAAATGATGACTCTTCAGTTTGGTAAAAGTGTAACACTTAAGCGCGCATCGATCGGTTAGTCGAGCTGCACTTGCCAATTCAAATTACCTACCTTTTCTGCTCTAACTCAAAAATCAATATCTCCTCTATTTTTAAGGAATACAAATACGCATATACAGATGCCTCAAAAGAGAAGACGACAATGAAGTTTCAGAAAAAAACTGCTTTTCCGTCAATAAACCCGAACCTTTGACCAGACCTTGTAATTTAACAGCATGTGAGAGGTATGAAAGCAGCTATTTATCTTGCCTCAGGATTCATTTTCTAATTAAGGTTAATGTTAATGTTTTTCCATGTCCTATATCTGTAACCACTGCAACACAAATTTATCAAAACTGTACTGATAGAAGTGAACTTTTTGCGGAAAGATTTTTCAGTTCTTGTGAAACAAAGGCTATTCTGCCTTTAAGCCGTACGCATAAAAATCCGCCGAAGTGATTCGCGTTGTGGTATCATAAAGTCTTGAAATGATATTTTGCTATGGTCAGCAAACATCAAAGAGGCAGGAATAAATTATAAAGGTCTATGATAATAACTGATGTTAAATATTGACATGTATTGGTAATAACTTAGTTACAAGATCTTGGCCAAGATTTTGCGATGTACAAGCTGTCTTGTAAGTCCAGGAACCCTTTAGGCCTGACCATCAGTATGCATATCCTCCATACTGTCCTCTTAACATTTTCTTTGGTACTGTCGCTTGGTCACGATCAAGAGCTTCTTCAATTACCGATCATATTCCCTATTCTCATTACCTTCACGTTTGATTCATCTGTAATACTTGAAGGAGAAATTAGATGGGTATGATCACTTCTGTAGTTGAGAATCAGCTCTACAATTAACTTGTGTGATTCAGGTATGAATGGAGGGTCTCTGAGTGGAGCGACTGTTCAAAGCCATGTGATCGTGGAAAGCAAAACCGTACTGTAGAATGCAAAGGTGTCTTGGGTAAAATGCTGGTTAACTCCTCACTTTGTACAGCGGATAAACCTGAAATCGAACAAATATGTAACGATGATTCGTGTCCTGCAAAGTGGGTTACGGGAAACTGGTCAGAGGTGGGTGATTACGTTTGTTACATAGTTAACAATTATGAAAGATGCTGCCTCAGATGTTCAGTCAGTGACAACTTCTTTTTCGGAAAGCTACACTGTATTGAAAACTGCCCCAGAGGATACGTATTTTGGTGCTTGAATAGACTAACTGTTCATTCTAGTACTAAGTGATTTGATTTTTTTTTCGGTCCAAAGTGTTCACGAACGTGTGGGAGCAGTTACCAGTCTCGCTCAGTAGAGTGCCGCGATATACTGGGGGCCTTGTCTTTGAATTGTCCAAGGGAAACAAAAGAAGGCATTATTAGGAGATGTAGGAAAGAGCCATGTGCAGGTGAAGGTGAGTATTCAGGGTGCATGTCACGCATCTTAGAGGAGTTAGAGCATCTCTAAAAATTGAACTTAGATATTTCGAGTTCAACATATGGCTGTTCTATACTCGTTCCATTTCAGTTAAGAATATTCTTCCCTAATTTGTGCCTCGCTGGCAAAACCGACTAACTTCTTCAAAGGAGCGGAAAATACTGCTAGGAGCAACCGTATACGCTGTACTAATATGCTATGTTTTTTTGCCCTCATTTCTTTCAGATTTTGTCAACATTTCATGTACTTTCGAGCAAGGTCTTTGCGGTTGGGAGAATGTACGTGGATCTAGTCTAGATCAATTTGACTGGACTCTGTGGAACAGCAGTACACCAAGTAGGAAGACAGGCCCCTCCGTAGATCACACTCATGGGACATCCAAAGGCGAGTCCCTCAACTCTTGGCACTGTATTTTAGATGTATCTTTAGTATTCTGTAAGCGACTTTTGGTAATGAACTTTCTGAGGAATTTAGTAACGATTTCGGAGATATGTTTTATCATGCAACTACACCAGTAATGTTGTGAGGTCTGGAAAAAGCTTTGAAAGAAGTTCAGCTACGACTGTAGGCTAAACTCACGTCTTCCAGTTTCCTCCTTTCGGATACTGCAACGCGCTCTCAATAACATTGAGACAGACAGAGTTAGACAGACCATGCCAGCTGACAGGCTACCTGATGAATAATTAAGCAGCTCTGAGGCTGGCTAGTTGACTGACTGACTGACTGACTACTTGATTGATTTCTGCAGGTTTTTACGTTTACATAGAGGCATCAGATCCACAGAAACGAAATTATCGCGCCAGGTTAGCAAGTCCACTGGTGAAGGCTAAAAGAGTGTGTATTGACTTCTGGTATCATATGTACGGGGCAAATATGGGCTCGCTCCGGGTTATCCACAGGGACCCAAAATCCAGAAGAGAACGGCGATTATGGTATAAGTCGAAAAACCAACTCAATGAATGGCATAATGAGCGACTTCTCGTCTCATCTTACTTGCCTTATCAGGTAAAATGCAATGCCTTGTGTGGCTCATGTGAGTTGAAGAGTTTTCGTGAGGAGAATAGTAAGCTCTTTCTAGACGCTTATTTACAAAAATTAAGGTGCCACCGTAGCAAGACGAACAGTTCTGACCAGTTCTTTAAAATTCTGCTGTGCAGAAAAAAAAAAAAAACTAACTATCGTGCCTAGTCAATCACAAAGGAATTTCCTTTAGTTGGGATTCTTATAATCTCTCTCTAATTCTTCTGGCTAGTAAATGACACATGATTCTCTTTACTTCCAGAAAGAGCGTAAACACTAACACGATTTGGGCGTAAACACCAAGTCTACTGTAGTACCTGGTCATTGATAAGGTGACATACCGTTGCATTGACATATTCTTTGTTTTTATTCTTAGATTATATTTGAGGCAGTTCGAGGTAGAGGATTTTCCAGTGACGTAGCACTAGACGATATTAAAGTGTCGAGCGGTAGCTGTCCTTCCAAAAATACCAAAACACGTGGGTTTGTACAATGATCTGTTACAAAGTCGTTGCTATTGCGCTCTCTTGCGCAGATCATCATAGCTTTCAGATTAAGCTCTAATTACATAAATTAATTGCATCTAATTAAATAAGCTTTGGATGGATGTGACATGCATTGTTTACGACATAACAAAGAAATTTACTCTGAGTTGATTCACTTTTCCTATTATCCTTAAGTAATTTTTGAAGAATTAGCTTGAACCGTTTTATGTCTGGGGCACTCACTCGCTTGGCTTCATTCATTATTTCGGCTTCCCCACACGCATAACGTAATATTCACAAATTTCTTTCTCTACCTGAATTTTTACCTTTTTTTAATTTTCATTTTCCCTATTTTTAAAATATGAAGAGTGCTCTTTTTCAGTTACACAAAGTCTCTTTTTCGCCGGTCAACTTAACTTCTAGGAGCAGTCAAGTCTCGGATTGTCAATAGATAAATGAAATTTCAACTGGTCACTCTTTCTAAAACGTCTCTAATCAAATCAACGCAGTTGCGTGATTCGCACTAGCGTGACTAGTTTCAAGAACGTAACGCAAGTAGAGGTTGTAACTTTCTTCAGTTACTTAACGTTGTCTATACGTATTTCCCATTTCAGCTCAAAATCGGTGTATCGGTGACCGGTCCAAATACTGCAAAACTGCACTGCGTCTTAACTGGTGTTCTTCGAGGAAATGGGGGCCAATTTGCTGTAAGACTTGCGAACTGTATGCACAGAGCGGATCGAAATGATCTCCTCACACCACGATACAGCATCATTCGAGCAATTGCCTGTTTTGTGTTTATTACATATGCATTACGTATTACAGATGTAGAATGCAAGATTTGCACATGTTGAAAACGAATATCTGTACAGTATAAACTGAAAACAATTATATGAAAGGCCGTTAAGGATATTTGTCCAAATCAAATTGTAGGCATTCTAAAGGCAAAATTCAAACGAAATTACTGAATTATACAATTATATCCTATAAACGATTTTCTATTAACAAACCATTTTTGTGGGAATTTATCAAATTGAGTTTACTGACATGGAAGTGTCCTGGTTGGAAAATCTTTCTATCTTGAATAACTGCATGGTTCAGTTCATATGCAGATGTACAAATAGGTAGATTTTTGTAATTGCTGCAGAAAATGAAAGTTATTAATGCCTTAGCCTCCCTTTTAAGATGCCCTATAAGGGGGTGTTGTTGTATCAAAGGATAGTGTTAAGTGTCCACAGCTAGATAGGCTTCAATTCACCCCTTAGAGCATCCACTTATGGAGCAAGCAATGCTCACTCATGAAGCCTAGCATCAAATGTACAGAAAAAGGACATGTTGCCTAACTGTAGAACTTGTATACCATTTAGAGCTCAAGGTGGAGGAAAATTATGTACATCAACATTGTATAGACTGTGGTTTTTAAAAGTGATATTAAAAAAAATGGGCAAAATATAGATGTAGTTGCCAAAAGAATGTAGACATAAATTGATTGCTCCTTTTTCCATTTTCCCATTCTTTTTCCCTCTCAGAGAGGCTTGTGGCAGTTCTTGCACCCTACTTCACATTTAATGGCACTAACCACACAATGCTGATCACTTTGACTCATGAAAGCCATATTCACAATGAATTTCTCTTCACAATTTCCACACACTATCCAGCAAAAAGGTGACAAGAATTAGGGGTATAGCTGAGATTTTACAAAGGGGATTCAAACTACCGGTATGTCACTTCCAAGGTGACAACATGACTGTCATGTTGATATCCACACTATGTTTTTCTTAAAGTAACGTTTTGTTAGAAGTGTATTCCATCATGAAAGCTATGTATATATTACAATTTGACTTTTTCTCCATCTGAATTATTCTGTTTGTGTGGTTTTGAAACAAAACATCTCACCAAGGAGAGTGAGCCCATAACAACCCCTCTCATCCTCCTGCTATGTCCCTGAGGAGGAAAAAGTATCAACTGCAGCATTCAATCAAGATGGAACACCACATGCTCTTGAGTAAATAGTAGAAGAGAGATGGTACGTTTTGAGCTCAGTAAAGAAACAGAGAAAGATGTTTTTCATCTTGTCACAAGCCATGGGAGAAAGACAACATTACAAGTCCCCATGCAGAATTGAACCTCGGACCTTTACATTCCCACTCTATTTCATTACTGAGCTCAAAACTCACCATCTGTCTTATTTTACTTACTAACATGATGCTATCCACATCACTGATCCTAACTTGTCACATACGAATCTCATAACAGGCCTTGCTCACCATAGACTCTCTGTGGCTAAGTGGTAGAGCATTAGAGTGCAGAATCCAAAAGTCTGAGGTTTGACTCCTCGTGGGGATTCAGAATTGTACCTTTGTCCCATGCTTGTAACATGATGAAAAACACCTTTCTCTATTCTCTTAAGTAGTTCATAAGGACTGTATCAATACTACAAGGTCCAGGTGTTGAACAGGGCTCATAGAGGCAAGTTTAGTGGTCAAGGTATTGAAGAGGAAGAGATACTTATCCACTTTCCTCACCAAATAACAGACCCCTTAAAATCATAGAAGGATTCTCCTTGTGTAACACTTTACACTCTAACATCAGTATGCATATTCTCCAGACTGTCCTCTACACATTTCTTATGTTGCTGACAAGGAGAATTTGTTTGACAATCATAATCCTCTTTAATTGGTGATCATTTTCTTCATTCTTGTGACCTTAATAAATAACCTTATCAGAATCATGTAAACTCACTCCAACCAATAAAGAATTGCAACTACAAATAGCCTAACTACAACATTCCAGTGCATCATATTTAGTTCTCAACTGAATGTTATAAGAAGGTGTTTATTATGCACCTTTTTCACAAAGTGAGGAGTTGAAGTTGACCTACAATCTATTTCACACCTTTCCTTTGCCAAAATAATTATTTTCGTTTCTTCAACCATAACACCTGGATGTAGTATTTATTGAAAACACTAGACCTTAACAGTTTCTGAAAGGTTCAACCCCTACAAAAAGTGCATCATGTTCTTAGTGCAACATCTACATGTGCCAAAAATACACTCAGTATAAATTTGTGTTTGTTTATAGATGTGCAGGGGTGTACACTGTAGGTGCAAAATTTCAAGAAGCCTGTTAAGATGAAGGTGTGGTTGCTGCAGCAGGTTGAGGCTTCTTTCTCTTCAGCACAAGTGGTCCCACATTGTCTCCTGTTTCTTTGTTGTGCTTGGTATGTGAGCCATCACACCTTGGGAACTTAAGATTAGAAAAAAGTGTAAGAGTTAGATTGGATTCATTTCTCAGATGAAAAATAAAATTTCTGACACAGACCTTGCACACTACATACTCTATAATCTCAATAATAGCTTGGTTGCACATCACCAACTGTAAGTCAGCATCTCTACTGGTGTACCATTCTTGAGTGACCAGCTCACAAATACAGAACATTATGGGAAAAAAGAGTAACTAATGATTGTATGTTTAGATCATCTGAGTAAGGGTAGTCTTGAGAATAACTGTTGCCACATAAAGTGAGTTACATTTGGACAACCTGATTGGCAGTCTTCCAGGGCTATTAAGATGATCTTCTATCAGGTTTTCAATATGTCAATCCCTTCCACTGACAACAGTTCCTCAACAGATAACCCTTACTATGACAACCATACTGTATGATCCACAAATGTAGGAAACAAACTTAAAATGGGGCTCAATTTTTCAGGGATTGGTTTGCCTCCAATCTCTCATTTCAGTAACTTAAACATCAGACTCCTCCATGGATTCGTTGAGTATGACACACTGAGAGAAAAAAAATTCGTCCGAAGCGAGTATAATGCGCTAACTAGTGGATAGCACCCTCCCTTTGTTGATTCACACTGGGTATTATGTAATACTCTGTCTCCAACTTTTTGATATAGTGTCGTTACCGAACCCACCGCAGAAGGAAAAATGCTGTTAATGACAGCGAATCAATATAAAAAAGCTTGCAATCTCCCTAACGAATGCCACATTAATACCAAAAGAGTCTGCAAGGTCAAATCAATTTCTGAAGCCTAATTTACCTACTCAACTTGTTTTGTTTAAAGCCTGTTGGCTGATTTTACCTTTTTCGATTTCCAACAACGACAGAAAGCATGATAAGCTGCCTTCTCTGCTAAATCTTCAATCTGAATTGTATCAGCAACTTTCTCCTTGTCCTTTTGCTGTGTTTTGTTGACCCAGTCTTGATCTGGGGTCTTCTTCCCAGTGGGCTTCGATGCTGACCGCCGAGTAAACTGCTTAATTACGAGATAAATGAACAACGATAGAGTGAGTAAAAGCGGTGCAAGCTGCCGCCATTCCTTTACCGAGAGCTTTAAAAATCCGCCGAAAGTAGAAGGAACCGGCAGAGATCGAAGATAGTTTGGGAGCTGCACTTTGATTACACGCGAAACGGCTTCCATCTTAGAACGCGCTTCTGTCACGTGACCTATTAATTTGAATATATTAGTTCTTCTGCGTCCTTAAGAATGTTTAAATTGCCTGTTGCTCACTGTTTCCACTTGTGCACTGACATACTTGCACAAATGTGCGTCAATAGATCAGTTTTTGCAAGGCAGATTAATGAAGCTAAACAATTAGTGATGATAAAATGACTTGACACAGTTTAAAAAAATTTGTCATGATATTTATCAGAAGTTGATGGCTTGATGTTTCTTTATATGCCCACTTTTTAACTCTTTGTCGAGGCTCACCTGGTCTTCCCTTAGACTTAAAATGCTCTACAAGCTGGGTGGGGATAAACTTGACAAAATTTTCAATGAAGTCTGATCCAATGTCCTTCCAAATAATATTTTTACCAAAAATATCATCTTCTCTTAGCTCCTAGTTTACCTAGACACCTCTTTTGGAAAAGGAGAGACTAAAAATTTTTTATTTTTAAAGATTACGTTTTGAGCATTAGCCCTTTGTCAGAGTGAAACTTGTCCTTTCATTCACAATGTAGAGAAAATGTTGGAACCCATGAGATCATTAGGATCACATGTACCTCCACTAATGTCATCTACTGCATAACTTGCACTTATTGCAAAATGTTATACATTGGTGGAACAGGAAGACAACTAGGTGACCAATTTCAAGAACTCCTTCGCCAAGTAGAGAGAAATGACAAGGACGCATCCAAACCAGTCACTAGACACTTTAATCTCCCTAAACATTCTAAACAGCATATGGCAGTTTGTGAACTTTCCTCACATCTGGACAGTTTGGAAAACCGTGGCACAACCGTTTGTGGCACAAAACTGTAGAACAAAAAATTATCTATCAAACTGGCATCATCGATCCCCATGCCATCAATAGGCACTTTCCATTCAACTAATTTATTATTGAGGTTTAATTCCTCATGAGGACTCAGAATTTTTTCTTTGTTCCACACTTGTGACAAGATGAAAAAGACATCTTTCTCTAATTTATTCTTGTTTTCTCATCACCATATCCCCACCAATAGCATAGCTCCACTTTCTGAATATAAACACACACACAACCCACAAATCCTCCGATCGCTCTGACAAAGGGCGAACACTCAAAGGTCAGCTTTGAAACTCTTTACAGTGGCCAATTATGTTATCAACTCAGTTGATAATACTAAGTTACCCTGTTATACTCTTCCACTGATGCAGCACCAAAGTTTCTTTAGAAACTTACCCCCTTTGTTATGATGAATTTGGAGTTTGGATTAATACCATGGTGGCTAAAACTTTACAAAAGTTAACTCATAAAATCCCTAATCACTGGCCTCAAGATACCCATTCCAAATTGAATCATAAATTCAGAATCCATACCATATAGTAACAATAGTCACTGCCCCACAAACAATGAAAGCCTAACTAACAAGCTTGTATCTATGTTCATATTACTTCTTAAAACAACCCCCAGATGGAACAATAAGTAAACAAAGAAGTGTCTACATCAGTTTTATTCAGTTGACAAAATAAGTAGTAGCTTCACAATGGAAAGTGTTTGTCATATGCAAAATATCTGTATCTAAAATACATTCACTGTGATCTTTGAAAAAACAGAGAAATTTTGAAAAAACCCAACACCTAGCCAAGGGAATCAATCCATGCAACCTGCACACTAAAACTGGAATATCTACAAAATTTGACATTTACTTTAGACTGTCTACTTAAGACTACTTGCTGGCTGAGCACAAAAGATTACATTTTGCAAGGCACAGAGGAATCTCTTTCAAGAGGAAGGGTTTGCTCTCTTGACAATAATAGGACCCACATTGTCCCCAGTTTCCTTGTTGTGTTCATTGTGGCTACCATCACAGTAAGGGAACTGAAAAAATAAGAAGACAAACAGAGTGAACTGATTGTTGACTTTGATATAAAAGTATAACATGGTGAAAAAATAATAATATCCTAAAACATCTGTGAGAAATACCATGAAAATGATAATATATTTTGTAAGAAAATCCAAATCGAGAAAAATCAGGATGCCTGCACAGAACATGGCAAAGATCTCAAAAATTCATATACTCAAGGAGAAATCACTTTTTGTAAGTAACTTACAACATTACTTGATTAAATGCCACCCTCTGATAAATGCTACCCTTCATTGAACACCAGTGATGGAAGCAAAATTACTAATAAAAGACACTCTCCAGTAAAATAATACTGAAATCCTCAATCAGAAGAATGCAGTTGTTATTTGGGTATTATTGGTGTAACTTATAAGTACAGCACAACTAAATAAGTTTGTCATCCCCAGTTTTTTTAAAACCACGCAATCAGAATTCCATCCAAGCAAAAACATATTACATATAATATTCACTGATTAGTAATGTAAATTTTGTCTGTGATTTTCAAAATGTGATTTTGAAATCAACACTGTCCTTGACTAAACGCTGCATTGGAAGCCTTGATTTGGTATGTCAAACAATTTTGAAAGCTGATTTACCCCCCGCCCCCACCGATTTCCATGTCCGAGGGAGGGGCCCTAGAGATCAAAAGGTTTCGCGTCAGACCTCACTGCCATTTTACCTCTGGTTCTGGTAGAAGCACTAACCTTCTTCGATTTCCAGCAACGGCAACAAACCATTTTGTCTCCTAGGTCTTCAATTTGAAATGTATCAGCAACTTTTTCCTTCTCCTTCTCTACTGTCTTGTTCACCCACTCATGTTCTTTTTTTTTTGGCTTCGATGGAATCAGAGCTGAAACTACGAGGTACACAGCCACAGAGGTTGTCACCACCAATGGTACAAGCTGCACCCATTCACTGCCAGAAAGCTTTAGAAATCCGCCAAATGTGGAAGGGATTGGCAGGGATCTCAAATAATTGGGGAGCTGCACTTTAACTCCGCGAGACACGGCGTCCATTTCGGTTTCAAGAATCACGTGAACGACGTACCGGGTGATTGTTTTGTTGTTCTTTTGTACTCTTTGTTTCTTCGCATCGTTAGCGGCTAGTCAGCAGCTTCTGAAAGTAACGTCTAATACGTCATGTTTGACGATGTTTAAAAGCAGATTTTCATCATGGCGGACGAAAACAACTTGCAAATTCGAAACCAAGAAGCTGCTATAACTAGCAAAAGAGCCAGATTTTTACAATTTATTGGACTTTTTATTCCTCCTTCAGGGTTTTTTGGACAAACTTTGACTCGTGCTGTGATTGTCATCCTCAGCTGGGCAGTTTTATGGTCCATTCTTGGTGCTGAACTTCTACCAGGAGGCAACATCTTCGGAATTTTCAACGTGATAGTGCTTGCCGCTTTAGGTGGCTTTATGACCAGAAAAATCTCTAAAGGCACCTTGCCTTCGCTACTAGGAATGCTTGTTGTTGGATTCATTTTACGTAATGTGCCAGGGATCAATGTAGCGCGCCATATTGACAAGAAATGGTCAGCAACTTTGCGCAGTATGGCGCTTGTTGTAATTCTTACGCGATCAGGTTTGGAACTGGACCCAGGAGCTTTGCGGCGGCTTAAATTCACTGTAATTCGCTTGGCTTTTTGCCCATGTATTGGAGAGGCCATCACGGTGGCTGTTGTTGGTAAACTGTTATTAAACATGCCTTGGCTTTGGGGGTTTCAACTTGGGTAAGTGTCAGCGATATCCGACCGCAAGCGCTAGACGAGCCGCTGCAAATGCCGCTTTTAAGACTAACAGGGTTTTTTTTATATCAAACATTGATTGAAATGAGTGCGGTGCTATCCAGGATAAAGGGGCATGTGATCAATTAGAATATGTACACCATGAGAAACATATTTCAATGTTTAAAATTATTCTAGGAGCAGTTTGTTTGATAGAGTTAAACATTTTACCACAATAAGAGATTTTACCTCAGAAAATTTCCTCAAGCTTTTAAATTTAATTTTTCCTCAGTGTTCTATAGTTAAATTAAATTAATTTCCTGTACAATTTTATAAAACCCAATTGGATATCAGAGGGAATTGTGCTCTTCAAATAAAGTATCATAATTGGAGAACCTCTCTCCAGAGGAAAAGCCCTTTCCATCTTCCAGGCATTGTGCAGACAGTTACATCACATAGACCTTTAACTCCCAAGATCTTACCTTTTTCTCCCCTTGTTACTTGGTTACAAGAATTAGGTGATTGATCAAGATAACAACTTCTACCTGATAAGTGTGAGTATTCTCACTACCTGTTTGCTGGATGATGTATAGATATTATAGGGAGAAGTTACTTGTTGATCACCTCTGGAAGTTAAAGGGTTAACTACACAATTGGTGCAGAAATGGTTTGGGTGCAATTGAATGACAACACACCTAGTTTGTGGTCTGGTCTCTCAACAGAAAATTAGATAAACTTCAGAAGGATGGCCACTAAGCTCATGTTAAGGTATTTCATGTAGGTTTATTGTTTGCTGATTATGAATTCCTTTCCTTTTCAGGTTTGTTCTTGGTGCTGTCACACCAGCTGTTGTAGTTCCCCAGCTTCTCACTTTGCAGCAGAGAGGTTTTGGTGTTGAACAAGGAATCCCCACTTTAGTTATGGCTGCATCATCATTTGATGATGTCATTGCTATAAGTTTGTTTGGAGTTTTTCTTGGAATTGCATTTTCAGAAGGTTAGTTATAGTGTTCCTACATGTGCTTTGGAAAAGTGTCATCTTTGTTGAATTTGTCCTCATTAATAAGTAATTGACACATACCTCTAATGGTGTGTGTTTTGGTAATTAATATTTCTGTAGCTGATGTGTGTGGTTTTACACTGTGGTTAGGAAACATAGTGTTCAACATCTTCAGAGGTCCTATTGAGCTGTTAATGGGTGCTGTATTTGGAAGCTTGGTTGGAATTTTGTGCTGGTTCTTACCAAACAAATATGAGGTAAAGTATTTACACACCAACAAAATGATAGAGAAATGAAGCCAGTTTTTACTGGTCACCTGTAGCTTTCTCCCCACTGTTGATATACCAGAAGTGTTTTTTTATTGAGTGCTCATGATGCTGGATTCAGCGTGATATTCTCAAACTATCATCATGGTTATAATACTTGGTAACTTCATTTTTCAGGCAATGGGTCATTTTTCAATTAACAAAGAGAAAATTATAGCTTTATTCAAACTTTAAGAAGATGATAGTTGAATTGCAGTTTATATGTCACCATTTACCCACCTATGTGTTACACGCGCAATCTTGTTGTGTGTTAAATTATACCAACCAATGGCTCCTAAGAAATATTTGCATTATTGTCATTTACATGTCTGTGCACCATTTTTTTCTACTGTCAGCAAGACAGATCACGTAACAGATTTGTGATTCTCCTTGGCTGTGCCATGTTCTCAGTGTTTGGCAGTAATATGGCTCAGTTTTCAGGAGCAGGAGCCCTTGGTGTTCTTGTTCTAGCTACAGTAGCATCACATGGTTGGGGAGACATTGAGAAGGTTAGTGAACAGTACACATCAAGCTTTTGTTAGATTTGAAATCAACCATGGCAACATACATGTACACTATCATTCTGGTCTGTTATCTTAATTTTATTGTCACATAGCATTGTGTTTAATTCAGTTCTCTCTAGCTCACAAATCTTAATTTTATTTAATACAGTTTGGTGCTTTCTCATGCTCAAAGTACAAATAGTTTCAGTCTTAAGTGCAAAATTTTGTGGGCTCAACCAAATTGCATCAGCCAATGGGCATTAAAATGAATCAAGCAGTGTACAGGGTATAATAATATTATAAACAGTTGCACTCATTTGAATATAGAACTAAGAAGTATACATGTATGTAACTATCGGTTAGCAATTGTGCCAATTGCTTGCTCTGAATGATGATAGCCTCACCTGTCTGTATATAAGTTTTAAGGATTAATTTGTGTGTTTGGGAAGGTAAAAAGCATTTATTACAGCAAACTGTTTTTCCAGGCTCCAATTGCTGATGCTATGGCTGTAGTTTGGGAATTCTTTCAGCCTCTGCTGTTTGGTTTAATTGGTGCAGAAGTCAGAATTGAATACATGGATAGCACACTTATTGGTAGGTCTTGGGAACATGATTTTGTGAATAATGCCCAAATTTTAATAATACTCACTGTCTGATGCCACCATCCAACATTGCACTTCTTTTCTCTGCTTCTTCCATAATCAGTCAGAGAAATTCTCTAGAAGCATATCAGATTTGATTTTGTAGGTCTTTGTTCCCCTTTATCATGGTAATTTAATTCCAAACTGTAGTGATTGTTATGGTGGTACCTTTTAGCGCTAGTTGGAATTGGCACTCTGACAATGTGGCCATGCAAAGAGTGTAAGATTAATAGTTTGTAACTCATGACAGTTTTTCAGTAAGAATTTATAGTGTGGGGTGTCATGCACCCAGTGCAGCGGACATGGGTTGTTGTGCACTGGAGTTCGGGGAGTGTCAACCACAGTGTAGGAATCAACAACACAAGTTGATTCAACAAGATATAATGCTATCTGCACCTGAATATCATACACATGCATGAAATTAAAAGGGGAAACTGCAATGTACAAGATTAAAAAATTGGCTGAGGCTAATCACAAAATAAGTGAAATTGAAAAGAAAATTAGATTAAATACAATAGGCTGGAACTTATGTCTGATCCTGTCTTTAAGGGCGTAGAGAAACTGCAACGTTATGTAACTGGAACTTAATCTTATGTAAAAAGAAAGTCTGATCTAACTCCATTGATCTCCTTACTCCAACTACCTTGATAATTAATGGGCATACCATTATAAAGGTATAATTCAGGTGTACAATTGTAAACTGGTTTATCAGGAATGCTAGCCAAGTAATTAATTCAAACTGTGAACAATAGTATACTGTATCTAGAAAATAGGGGCATAAACTTGACAAGAAAACAAAGCAGAACTTCTTTTACTTTAAATCAAAGCAAAGACTTGACAAGAAAACAAAACAGAAAATTTCTACTTTAAATCAAAACAAAGGTGATTACATAATCAAAGTCTTCTTCAAATGTTTATTACATGGGAGGTGTGCTTTAATAAGCAGTCTCTCTGCAACCTCTTGGTCTCACATCCCTAACATTTGATCATGAATTGTGAACAATTTTCCTTAGTTGTCTTCTTGTTTGATGTTTGTTTCAGGAAAAGCATTTGGTTTACTCACCATAGCAATGATAGTTAGACTGATTGTAACATTCTTTGTTGTATCTGGAAACAATCTCAGCATAAGGGACAAGATTTTTGTTGCTATAGCTTGGTCTCCAAAAGCAACTGTGCAGGTACATTGTAAACTTTAAGGGAATAATTTGTAAAAAGTAATTTGTTCTTCCTAGAGTCAAATTTAACACCAGCTCTTTAACATGCACCAGTGACAGAATTCCTTGACATGTCTTCTTTCAAGGCTGCCATTGGCTCAGTATCACTGGATATTGCTAGGGAACGAGGTTTCACAGGATTGCATCAAGAGGAACTTGGAATTCAGGTAAATTTTGGTTATTTTCCAGTACTGGGTAACAATAGCGAACCTAATTGAAGTTGTCAGTATTATAACCTAGCCTTCATCTTTCCTCTTCATACCAATCAATATAATGAGGCTTTTTCTCTCCCTTTTACCTGCTTTGGCAGAATTGTTAATCCATGGCTCATACTTTCTCTTTCACAGTCAAGAGAAAAACTAAGTGATTGGGCAAAATTGCATGGTCTAGTTTTGTAAATCTTCATTACAACAGAATTTAAACTGGTCAAGTGTACTTTATCCTTAGCAGCTTTTTTTAACTGCTCTGTAGATCTTAACCATAGCTGTGCTGTCCATTCTCCTCACTGCTCCAACTGGCGCAGTGGGAATTGCCATTTCTGGCCCTCGATTGTTACGCAGTGCGGTAGAAACACAAGAGATTGGGAGCAAAAGAGAAGTGGAACCAATTCTTGAGGGACAGGGTGCAGGGTTTGAAGAAATGAATACTAATGTGTAATGTGGCTTTACATTGATCAGTACGGAGAAAAAAAAGAGCTAAGAAACAATTAGTAATGGAAGAGAGAAACAAACAATGGGAGAGAGAGAGAGGAAAAGGGCTGTTTTTTTGCCACATTGTGGTCTGGTCCTTCTACTCAAAGAACAAAAGGAAAGGTTGGGTATTTATGACTATGTCAATCCTTGGTCTTTATCAATTGTTTGATAATTTTGATCAAAGAGAGTCTGGCATCATTGTGACAGCTTATCCCAAGGGCCTGATGCAATACATGGGACTGGGACTGAGAAGGACAGATTGGTATCACTAGCAATCTCTTATTAAAAGAAAAAATTGTTATTGGGATGTGGACAAAAAAAGACTGGGAAATGGAATTTGTGCAATATTTTGACCAAGAAATGACATTTATTTGCCCCACCCCTCTTCCCTTCCTTATGGTGGTTAGAAATTGAGAGAGTGACTGACCCTTATGAAATCTTTATTTTTAGTATTTATTCATCATACATTTAAAGTTCCATTGTTGTATAAAGATATCTACATGGTTTACAAGAAATGTCACAAAACTTGAACATAAAGTCTGCATTCAGAACAAGAATGCCATCCATTCTTATTATTTTTCTCTGCAGTCCCCTTGATTCAAATCTGCTCATGAATAATAAATCTTGAAGCTTTTAAGTTCTTAATTTTACCTCCAAGAATAGTGCGATTTCTTTAACCATCACGTTCCACATCAGAGTTCTTTTATTATCACAGCACTCATTGATTGCAGGAGGATTGTCATGGAAGAAAACGTTAAAACTGTTTTCTTTTACATAATATAGGGCACCATGTCATTTCCGAGATTGGTTCTTGACCTAGATTCAGTGCAACCCCCATTGAAACTTTCCCTCCTCAGAGGGGGAGGAAAGGGAGTTTGATATATTTGTAAAGTGTTCTCAGTTGGGCAACAACTGAATCCCGAAAGTCCTCAAATTTGACTTCTTTATGTCTTCCCATTCCCCCTAGCCAGGTAGCCTACGTGTAAAGACTTCGACATTGTCCTTTGAGACAATTACAGACCATTACAAGATGTAGCAACTGATGATGGGGGTCTATTATTATCTTACCCTACCAAATTGAGAAATCCTCCATCCAAAGTGAAAACTTTTTTTTTTCGCCGTTGTCGCAAACTATTAGGTTGTTGTACTTGTCAATAGCAAGATCAGTAGAGTTTTTTAGTTTGCTCATCGCTGGATCTTTTAGAGCCAATATCGTAGAAGAAATCACCGTCATTGTTGAACACTGTAAAAGTTACTGAAGTGGGTTTGTCGTTATGTTTTTCAAAGTCATACTCTTTGATTAATTTTCCATTAGAACTGAAGAGCTGTACTCTATAATGGTTAGAGTCTGTAACTGTAACAGCCTCGGTGACATTACTGACTGCCATACTTGATTGAACCTCTGGTACCCGAACTGGTAGGCTGACTCATACCAGTGTGGAGGCCCTTGGACACACCAAGGGCTGCTAGGTAGTGGTTGACCGTTCAATGTGATTCCTGTGCAATATTCCTTTGCTCTACCAAAAATATGTCACAGAATATTGATCATTTTTTTTTGTCCTTTATAGTCACGCTTGACGCTATTTCTCTCTAAACTTCATCCTCGATTATAACTTCCTCTTGAACATGTTTAACTGTAATGTTTACACTGTAAGACAAAGTGTAAACATTGGGCAACTGCGAGTTACGCATAACCGCCGAAGAAATCGCACGCGAGAACGTCACATGATATCGTCTCGCGATATCTGGAAAGGTTTCTTCTTTGAGAGAGTTTGGTGTACTTTTTCGTTCTTATTTCTTAAACAGATTTCGGCGTCACCTGAGTGTTGGCTTCGTAGTTATTTCAAACACAATACGTAATCTAACAGAAACCGTTTATTATGCAGGCTCGGCGAGCACGCATCCTTTGTACCACCTCTGTTGATTAACTACAATTCGGTGCAAGGTAGTAGGTGTTATCTATACGATAGTCAATCGAATTATCCGACCAGAAGTCCTGGTATTCGAAATTCATTTCATGAATCACTAAGAAAAAAGGATGCCCTTGTGTCTTGAGGTGACTATTGGGTACAACTTCCCTGTGCTCGGAGCGCTCAACAGCACTAAACTCCGACAGAGAGGACAATTAAGTATATCTCTAACACTCATTAGGCATTGGTCCAATCCAGAGTATTTTAGAAACTGATAGCATGTTCACGAGTGTGTAATTTGCCGTTTTCTATTTCTGATGGGAAATCTTAAAACAATCGTAGTAACACAGTTTTTCAGCAAGTTTTGAACTTTTTTATCAGAAGTCAATTGATATTCAAGTACGTATGGAATTACCAGTAGACGTTATAAGACTTTGTTATTGTTGTTGTTGTTGTTTTTTTTAACCTAAAGTTTTAGTGAGTAAAGTGCGGCACGCTATTGTTTTTATTTTGATGATGACGACGATGTTATTACCGTCACTTTTCCTTTAGGTGTCAAAAGCAGCTGGCTCCGGCTGTGCGAAGGATGGATAACGCTATTCACCTGATAAATCTCCATCTATCTAGTACGTTTTAATAACTCTTATCCGCTGGATGCCTGTTTATTCGTTGGATAGCGCTATCCTCCCTTTGAACAACTCGCCCCAAGTCTGATCTCGTTCTGCAGTGAAAGTAACGGATAATTCATTTAAAATTTAGTAAATCAGGCTATTGCGAATTAAATTAATAAATAAATTAAATTTTATTGCTTTTAAATCGACTTTAAAAATAAAAGATAATTTTTTTTGCACAAGAAATTTCTAAAAAACAGAAGATGAAAACCTATTAATTGGATTAAATTAAAGCAAGAACAATGATTGAACAATGAAAAGAGCCTTGAATAGAGCGGATCTGGCCTTTTGACAGAGTAGAGTACCACGAAAAGGAAATGATCACTTAACAACGCCATGAACAAAGATCGTGAAGGAAATCAAGGTTTTAAGCGTGTCTTATTAAACGTCTTCAGTTCTTCAGGGGCATCTTTGAAAAGCCTTTAAGATCGTCAAAATTTACTACAGTGAGAGCATGTTGAATGGGTCGCGGTCAATCACAGAGCCACAAGTCGGACATCTGGCAGCGATGTGTGATGAAATCTTACGCACGCGTGGTGAGGAAGGTCTTGATGACGCGTCGGATAAATTATTACAGTCGTCAAATGGTTCCATAACGTTCATTTTCGTTGGAAGGTTGGGAGCTATCCCTTTGGACTTGAAAAATGTTACAATTTGTTGTGAAATGTTTGCAAATACATCTCGCGCCTGAAAAACGAAATTCAGAGACGATATCAAAAGCAAACAACGATTTTTCTTGATAAACCCATCATAATAGAGATAAAATCACTGGAACTGATTTTTCAAATAATTTTCTTCCCCTTACTCGAAATTTTACGCACACTTAATGCGCACTTAATTTTTACCTTCATGTCCTTCAAAGTTGGCGTTTCGATTCATCTTTGCTTTTTACTTTAACATCTTGAACCAAAGTGACGTTTACGAAAGACTGCACCTCTTTAATTGTAGACAACTGTTTTCCGTTTAAGTTAGATCAAATAAGAACTCGAGCAGCCTTTTGAAACATCAGACCAACCAGAGCTAATGATTTCTTTTCATTACTCTCTTATCTTCAGACTCTTTCTAAGCAATCCATTACTTGATTTTTGATGTCGCTCTCTTTACCTTAGACACTCACTTTTTCGATATAGCTATAGTGCGTTGTGCTAAAACATCGCAAACCCTTCAAATGAAAGAGGTCTTACCATTGAATCATTGACTCCTGGATTTGCAGCGTGTCTTCTTAGAGACAAAAAGTCCGTGTTTATGCGACTCGCTGTCTTTCCTCCTTTAGATCTTAGCTGTCTTCTATTTCTTGAAAAAAGTTCATTCTAATGATAAAAGGAAGAATATAGAAGAGTCATCAACAGTAAAGACAAACTTCCAACCATACTTCTCATTGACCTCATTCTGAACGCCTTCTTTTTGCTCTCTTTAGCAGTTCATCTCTTTGAATGAAGCTAGTCACACTCCTATAAGCAGTATTCAAAATTTTTCCCAAGAAAACTCTTACAAGATGAAAGAATAATCTGGTAGAAATTCTTACCATTAATCTAAAGTCTGCGGGCCCAACGCCTACAACAACTATAGAGAGAGGCGAGCGTTCCACATCAACTAACACGTCTATCAAATGGTCTACGTCATTGACGATGCCGTCAACAATAACAAGTCCTATTGTGTAATGCTGAGAACACTGGGATACTTCTTTCTCGGCGTATGCCGCTATCCCTTGGATGATGGGCGCAAGATGGGTGGGTCCGCCCAACTTGACGTCTTCCAGTCTTTTCCAGTAGGCGTCAACAACAGCCTGACACAAGGAAGAGAGATAACTCCGTGATTAATGTGTATGTTGATATTGGCACAGGTACAATCTGAAATCCTATCTGGCTGACTGACTGGTTGGATGACTGAGCTGATAAGCTAAATGATTCTCTCACTGACACATTTATTGACTGACGTTTTGGGCGAGGGAATGACTGACTGTTGACTGGCTGATCAGTCAGTGACTAATTGACTGACTCACTCACCTTCCTGGTTACCGGTAAACTGACTGGCCGCCTTGACTGCACTGATTGATTGGCTGACTGATTGACTGGCGGACTCAATGACTGACTGATGGCTGACTGAATGAATGACTGATGGTCTGACCGTCCGACTGCCAGATTGACTAAGTGAACGACAGAGTAACTGACTGACTAGACATCACACACGAATTGGAGTAAATTAACTGAAAGACTGATGGACGGACGTAATGACTGAGTAATTAACTAGCCGACTGACTGAATGAATGAGGCTGTAACGAGTATGATGAGAAACCGAACAGTAAAAATTCATATTAGTACCTCTACATTCTCCAGCTCAGGTTTTCCTGTTTCACTATCAAGAGCAAACATATAAGGTAGTGCTCCTGTTGAGCAGGCCTGGGCTCCAAATCCATACGCTGCAATTTTCTTATCTTTCTCGAAGCTTGATAAAACCTTCCCTATTGACTTCAAGGTCTGAGAATACTCATTCTAAATGAAACACAGATTGAAATCTTATGTCATTACGAAATATTTATTGATCCATCCTCATTTGGGCAAAGGTCCCCACCCTTAGTCAGTGGAGACGAGCGAAAAAGAGGGCAAGAGACTGGCTTGCGTGGCTGGCGGGTTTGTGCGCACTAAAGCAATAATGAGCAGCTAACGCACGTGAGACTTGGGACAGAAGAAAGATTTATAAAGACTGCCAGTGGTTTCTCTCCTCTCCTGCTCTAGCCACTT